ATGCATTGATCCAACATCTTATGTACCTCTTATAACTATTAACAATCAATGCTTGACAGTCAGTCTTGTGGAGAAAAACATAATTCGAGAGCGGCGGCCGAGTGGTGGTGCACAAAAATGCAAAATCACATAAAAAAATATCGCATGTCTGTCTATAAGTGCAATGAACACGCAACCGTTAGCCACTCTGTTACGGTAATTTACTAACGATTGTATATGTTAATTGTCTCATTTTTATCTTTCGGATACAATAAACATTGTCAGTACGGTTTAACCACCATTTGGGTTCTCTAACCTATTAAAAGCTGTTATACTGTCCAAACTGTCTGTATATTATCTAAAAGTAAGTATCTAAACTCAGCTCTGTCTGCTTGGTCTAAATTGGTAGTTACTTCACGCTATCGTACTGCTTTAGTGCCGTACCCTACCTTTTTATTATCTCATTCGTTATTCGAGTTGTTGACATCTTATAACGATTAAAAACTGTTTTAGTGGTACAAGTTAAACCAACAATCATTGAAAGCCATTTCCCGAAATATTTAGATTTTTTATACATTCTTACGAAACGCTGGCATGTATATATGTTTTTGTCCTTCGTATTATAGTACTGTTTTAAAATGCATTTCAAATATCGAAAGATATGTTTTACGGCGAAGTGACGTGTGTGTGCAAAAGTGTTGTCTTACAAATAAAAAAAGGAAACTACTTATAGTTGATTCAATGGAAATTTGCAAAGTGAACGATTTAAACGGGACCGTTGTCTTTACGTTCCCCGTGTTGTGTACTTTCTCTGCTTTCATCTCGACACGCCAGTAATTAGCTGGATATGTATAATTTATTACTTACATTATATACACATATTGACCACGTCTGTGACTACGTCTACCTTATAGAAATCGCACACTGGAAGAATTTGTTGAGCAGTTTTTCGAACATATTATTCTTGTACTGGAATGACTGCCTATGCGGCGTACTGAAATCTGTTGCCGGTCAAAGCAAAGGACTTGGCAGGTCATATTAATTAAATTAAGATTTGACCGACCTATGTATAAATTTATATTATTTACTAAATTAGTAAAAAAGTCAAGGTATTATAGCAAAAATTAGGTAGGGGTATATGTCGTAACCACCGTGGGTGGAATCCGAGGGGATTACCGCACAGAAAAAAAAAGGTAGGAATATGTCGATCGCCATACAGTTATGATAAATATTGGACTGGACACAATATTCTTTTACTATAGGCTGGTTTTGATCTTATTTTAAGATAATGAAGTTTTTGATCGATGTAGCGTAATAATTTACCGTAAAATTTATGTCTACGTGAGGATCGTTCAAACGACACTAAGAAATTGTCGTATTATTTAGTGTACGCTTTTTACGAGGGGAAAAAAAGATTTTTGACGAACGATTTTGGCGCCGCCCTTGAATTATTCTTCCTCATAAAGGCCATGTACAATGCAAATTTCGGAGACCATCTTGCTTTGCGCATAGCCATTTGACATAATTGTAATTTAATTTTCTTATCTTAAAAGAGCGTATGATAGACAAAGTACGAGAAGCGAGAGCGATCAGTTTCTTATAACTTTGAATCAGACAGCAAATAGCAATCTGCCTCAACGAACTTGTCATTTTCGATGGGCTTTTCGTGATGGACGCTAATAAAAAAGTAATTACAAGTTCCTCTCCAGTTTTAGATTTACTAGAGCGATTGATTAGCACTCACTTCTCGCTTCTACTCACCTTGTAATAGCTTGCTAAAACCTATTTATATCTAATTGTTCACATTAATGCCTGAAAGTGGGTTAAATCTATTGGTGCAAAACAGTGTTTACTCTCTTATCACTTTAAGTCTTATGTGGTTTCGTTTTAAGTGTTAAAATAACAGATTGATTAAGTTTTAACCATTTTTTTTAAATAAACCAACAAAACTAGAGCGTTAAATGTTTGCTGTCAGCGATTAAGTAGTCAGGAAGTATCCAGTTCCGCTAGTAGTTTTAATTGACACACGATGATTCGCTAAGTTTTCCTCGATTTCCCTCACCGTTGGACACTGGCCGCTGCACATGCGCCTTCAGTCTTCGTGGTCAGCTCGCTAACACGCACCGTGCGTTGTCCATTCATTAATTTCATTTCGACGATGCATTTTGATATTTTCCTTCGAACTTCAATTCTTCCTTTATGTGCTCATAAAGTGTTGACTATTGTGCATTCAAAGGATTTTATTATGTGCTACAATGAAAGTTCTATATGTGTTGTGTGCTGTTGACTGCAGATTGTAATCATGTCTCTGGATATTATGTTTTTAACTAATGATAACTTGCGTCGCAAGCGCAAGGAGCCGCTAGTCCTAGGACTTCGCTACAGGGTAAAGATTTTCTATTTTTATTTCTTTATGATCTAAGTGTCATATGCTACAATCTATCTGTCTATGCTAAGATAAATGCAGACATTTTCAACTGATTTACTATTACGATACAGAAAAACAACGATAGAACCTATTTCATTAAGATTTGCTGAAATGTTAAAGTTTGATATACCTATTTGGTTTCCTTATTTATATAAGGTTTCTATATCCTTTAGATTTTTAGAACACGAGAATCAAGGAGTATGTTGTAAGTCCTTACAATAAATCCCTTCTACACAGCAGACCGTGTGGTGACGGATTAAGAATACGGAGTGTCACCACCCCTATAAATCCCATGGACAACCGCACTGCAAAGAGAAAGAAAACTTGAAACAAACCGTATACCATCCCCTCTGGTTAGCGTAGTATAGTAGACCAAAACCTCTTTTCTAAAGAGAGGCCTATGTCCAGCAGTGGACTATTAAGGGCTGTTGATGATGATGACGTCATGACACAGCAGATGCTTATTCTGTATATAAAGCTTGTTTAGGGCGTTCCATTGAGTCCTGTTTAAGCCGCCTCAGGAACTATTTTGACTTTGGGTTCGAAACAATAAAACGGTTTTTAGGCTATGATGAAGACGTTGGTGTTTAAAAGGATTAACGTTTCTAAGTAGCTTTATGTATTGATTGCAATTTACGTGTACAGTTACATTTTTTTTATGTTTAATATAATGACAAATCCTTTAAAATTCTAACAAAGTGAGGAGATATTGGCGGCTGCAATTCGGTCATAATCTGGAGTACCCCACAACCCTATTACGATACCGTAACCGGCATATATTTACCATTTTATTTTGTTATCATTGTATTACATAACAATATCATATTTTCAGACTTGCTCTGAGCTTTATAGCACATAGTAAATTTAGGTGGTGTTCCTCAGTTAAAAATTTTGGAATATCTTTTGTCGCAGAATTAAAACGGGGTTATAGACGACAACTTAGAAATAAATCTTAAATAGTTATTAAAATTAAGTCTATTCTCATTACGAGTATATCTTATACTTTTGCCCTTTGAAGGTTGGATACCCTGCGATTGAGTTACGCTGAATTGTCTTTCTAAAAAGATGTAAAAAAAACTAAAACGGCGTGAGAGGTCTATGGACCTAAGAAGTGTCGGAAAAAAATCTTGTTACACATTTTTTCGGTCTCGCTCACGTCCGCTCAGAGCGTGTAACGAGCGATAAGGAAGTACAAAACAAAAACTAGATAAAGCATGAACAATATGAACCCAATATTACCAATAATTTTATTTCGAGACATTGACGCCTCTTGTAGGTAATTGAACAGAAACAAATTACACCAAAATTAAAAAAGCAATTTTGCCTGTAAATTAAGACTGATGTTCCTTTTTAAAGATGATCTTACAATACTCGACTAAGTAGCAAGTAGCTATTAGAGATTGCTGATTTGCTTCATCCAGTCAAATAGTCACACAAACACAGATGCACGCACCCCTCACATTCACACACACACACACTCATCCATACACACCACACAACCCTCTCCTTCATACGCACTTACACAAACTCACTCACGTACACTCACTGCCATTTGCAATAGCCTCCCTGAACACTGATTCTCATAACTTATAAGATACTAGGTTTACTTTAATTAATATTTCATTTTATTTCAATAACCAATTAGTTTTTAATAGTATTTATCCAACGGTTGTGGCCACGGAATTTGCTTCTAATGTTCAGCGGTAAAATTGTGTGTCTGTGGAAGCATTGTATTACCAAACTGCGCTATAAAGAGTCGCTGGTACTTATAGCACAGGGTTTCCTTTTTAAGTATCAGCAGTGCATTATTTGTCATTATTGTAATATAACAACCATGAAATTATGTTGTTAACTTTAATTGTGAACAATAAATATTATTATTATATTATTATTATTATTATTATTAGAGATGACAAGGTAAACCATGTGCGTATTTATGTTAACGAAACCAAATAGCCATTAGTTTAAAATTTAAAAGCTAATACTATTTTTCAGTTAGTTTGGTTATTCTATTACTCCATTTAATTATATCCACTGTTTAATAATGTTATGATTGTTTTATATGTTCTGTTTTAAAATGCAAGCTATACGGATACTGACCCATTATACACACATGTGTTTATGGGTTTCATTCATAACCCTAAACCCATACATTTTATATTTGTAATATTTAAAATACCTATCTTTACAAACTCTCGAAAAGATTAAGAATTTATAAACTAAAAATACATCAAAATTGTTTCTCAATTTAAATTTAATAGATATATTTTTCAAATTAATGATAGGTATAGTAATTCTATTCAGTCCTTTTATTTTTTAATAATAATAATCTATTGCAGACAGAAGGAAAAACTTAAAGGCATTAAAATATTGCTTTTCCATCTATTTTTCCAACCTTATTTTTTATTTTATTTCAATTGTTATTAGGTGGTAATATTAAACTTATAAAGTCTGTTCAAAATGTAAAGAGATATTACATTACATACTAAAATGAGATAATTATAAACGTCCTTAGCCGTTAAATAATTTACTTCTGCTAAGATTTTTTTACCTGCAGTGAATACTATTTAAATGTATCTTTATGGTGTTACAGGGACTATCAAATGGCGTTGAAAATGATCAAAACACCGCAAACCTGCCACCGGAGTTATCACATAAACGGCTATCGAATACCTCCACAACGTCCAATCAGAGTTACGATTCAAATGTAGAATACGCGGTGCCCAAACACTCATTCAACCAACGGGGAGGGAGCTCTTTACGAACGAGCGACCTAAGTGATAACTCTGATATCGCACCATTCGGTCAACAGAAGATCACGAACCCCCTATTCGGAGTTAACGCCGCGTCGCACTACGCACCCGGTGCAATAGCTGCCTCGAAGCATGAGGCTGTTAACGACCAAACCAATCATTACGAAAGAACAAACATGCCGAACGGCGTCAGGAAAGCGCCTGAAGGTCAGGACAATGACGTCATCAAAAACGAGGACGCCCTAGACGGTAGGAATGAGGTGATCGTGAACCCCAACCAAATCGCGATCACTGAGGGCGGCACCGCGACCTACACTACAGACAATAATGGTAAAATCAATGTTCATGTCACCGTCATGATTAACGCAGGTAATTATATGCATCCTTACGAACTCAAATTGACCGTAACAGCACATCTATATACATACATACGTTATATTTGGCACAGTTTATAACAATTTATCTGTAAAGTTTATCTAACAGTTTTGCACAGTGATGGTTTATATATAAATGAAGGTTGGGACTGTGTGCCGGTTTCCAGAATTGATACGCTCTCGAGGATGCATATTGAGGCAAGCAGTCTCTCTTTGTAGTTGCATGCAGGTTATAAGACTCATTTATGAGGAGATATTTCTTAATATTCTATTAAAAGTACATTACCTTAATCTGATAGTAAATTAAAGGTCTATCACATGTTATGTCGATATCTTTACATAACCACTTCAATAAGAGTAACTCGGTAAAAAGAAAGTTGAATGAATACGTTTCTCGCAGTCAGCAATAACAAGATCGTCCATATTTACATTTAAGAGAACGAAACTCCTATCGGACCGTGTTAAATGTATATAAAGTAATTTCTAGTTATTACGAGTTGAAATACCATAAATTTATTTTAGAGAAAACATTTGGCAATTAAGCCCAGTTCTTCTAAAGCCTTCTGTGGCTCCCAACCATAAGTAAATAGATCATGATTAAAGTAAATAGTAATTAAGACTAAAATTAAATAACACAATTATAAAAATTAAAAAGTGCCTGACTTTCCTTCACCAATGTTCTAAGGGCTAGAAGGGCTTTTTAGAATAACAGATAAGAAACATTCGTCTGAGTACATAGGGGACAAAAAACTAAATCAAGACCGCAGACACAAACACACGTTAAATTGAGACCACACATACCACATACACTCCTTTTTGCGTCGGGGTTTAAAAATAGATCTCAGATATAGTTAAAAAATTGAAACTAACCTAATGCGCCTCCAAGTAAATGAGTCTTAACCGTGTGGATTGTTTTACTGTTCCTTATGTGGTATTTGTCAAAAGTTTTATGTTGAGTGCACGTATCTTTCGACTATCACGTATTGTTCTATCATCTATACACTGCACTATTTCTCTATCATTATTCTAAAATAATTAAATTTTCTTAATGTGACCTTAGTTATTATATTTAGTAATTCCGCTAGTAAGATCCATTCGGTTTGCGTAATACGTAAAATCAGCACAAAAGATAATATTTACTAACATGTTTGTGAAAGTAATGCATCACAATGCTGATTGAAACATAAATCTTGAGAAACATTTAATGTTACGCTACGCTTATCTCGTAGGAATGTAGACGTTTATAGAGCAAGACATATTTCTTTAATAGTAATCATTATCATGTATTCTAGGCACACTGGCTGATTTGAAGAAGCAACGAGCTCAGATCAGGACCAACGGCAGCCCGGTTGAAAGCAGTCTTACATCGACGAACAACCACAGCTTGAACTCGCTGTCTGAAGTGTCCAAACAAGACATGCCGGTCCAGTTGAATCCGTTGACGCTGTCCCCCAGCGCCGGCACAGTGCCCAGGTTCTCCGGCAACACCAGTGATGTAGTCAGTGATTCAAGGTCACACAGGTGCTGTATTATCATGTAGAGACAGTTTGTGATTAGAATTGAAAACACCGGCATGTACAATAAGCGTGTCGCTAAATGTGATGATAAGAAGCGAACAAGTCTGATTGTCATTCCAAAATAATTTTTGAACGGCTATTGGACCACCCCTGCGACCGACTCTTTGCAATAAAACGGTGGTCTAAGATATATCTAAAATAGTACAGTCAGCAAAAAAAAGTGGTACACATTTGAATTTATTACACGTATCCGAATATTATAAAGGAAATGCTATTTGTGTTCAGTCAAAGTTGAATTCTTCTAACTTATAATCAACAACGTTTATGATTCAAGTATGACAGAACATGGTTCATATAAAACATTTCAAATCAATCAATTATTTTAGAACATATTTTTATCTTGCTCATTTGGATATTTGCTATCTGTACTTAAAAAAAAGATAAATAGATTTTGTTTGCTGAGACTGAATGTAGTTGACAGTAGGTGTTTTATCAATCAGCGGCCGTTGGTCTGTTAGAAAAAATTATATCTATTATTGTTGCCGATAGAGAATTGCCATTATTGCTATCGAAGCAAGAGTTGCCAATGGCTGGAATACAGTGTGATAGATATATAAGAGCTCAACAACTATTGTATTTAAAAGATAAGGAAACTGTGCGGTTGCTAATATTTTATGTAGCGTTAGTATGGAATCCTATATTCAGTTATTATAGTATTCTTAAGATTTGTATTATACCAGCCCTCATGTAACGTATTGCCTACATTCCGTTATGTTGTTAATATTAATTATTGTTTAATTTTTAATTGTACATAGATAATTTGATTGTAAATTTAAATTTTTCAGTATTCTCTTGAGTGAATTAGGATCAAATATATTATTTTTTCTGATATATTTCAATGTTACATAAAATGCATAATAAGCATTTTGAACAAAAACCACTGAACCCATTATTTAATTGAAGTGATTTTTGGACAGTGCGCTATCAGTGATTTATGTCAAACATGTTTCTAATCAGTTAATTTAAACAATAAATTATTATTATGATTATTTTTAAGTAAATTGTACATAATATATGGGACTAAAATGGAAAATATTATTTTAAATATTATTGTAGAGCTGTTTGTTGAACTAACTGAACATAGCTACGATAACTGCCTTGGTTTTGTCGGACCACTTTATGGCAATAAACTAATATCACTAGAAGTAATAACAAATAGCAAATTAGTACCTTATGGGATTTTTTTTACATATCTATATCTTAAAACTATTAGATTTTCTTCAAAACAGGGTGATTTTTAGGTTGAAATCTTTTGGTGATGTTAAATTAGGTGAATACTATTTACCCAAAACATTTTTCAATTTAGGGCACATATACGTAAAACAGAATACGTTTTGTTTAAATTTAGACACCTTTTAAAAACAATTTGTTCTACATCAAAAGTCACATCACCTGTTTTAAGCTTGTCTACCTTAAAGTCACCCAGTATTTTTAAAAGGGTACCAGAAAATATGTACACATTAAGGACTGCCTAACATTAAATTCAGCTTTATATTTATATTTAAACCGTTTTGCATCTACTTACATACACTGTCAAATTGTTCAGTTTAGTTTGTCTATTGAGTTATACCTTTGACTAAAGACTGGATTTGTTATGTAGATTTTACATGTACAATTAGTAATCTTTCGAAGAGCGTGTGCAACATTCAGCGGTGTAGTGGAAACAGGAATTGATTATTTATTTACTATTGCTATTTGTCTACTATTAATTATAGAATGTAGTAGTTCTTGCAAAGGTTTAATACAGGGTTTAAGGGACTGGGGTTGATGAATTTTCTGCCGGAAAATCAATCAATTTTCTGATTTTTTATTTTTTTTTGATTAAAAACGATGTCACAATGTGTAAACAGAACATTTTACCGAATTTTTAAAATATATACGGTATACAGTCAAAACTTCGCCCCGTCGCCAACTTGAGTTAGTGTACGTAGACTGTTTGCACGGAATACAAATGTAGTTATTACTTTTATGCGATAATTACGGGGAATGACCTTGAAATCTGCATACACTACTACATTTCACTGTTCGTTACACCGTCCCTTTCACCCTACTGCACATAATAGGTGCATAATAGAAGATAACACGAGTTAGCAGAAAATAGATTCGGTTCGAATGTTGGTCCAAATGTAGACGAAAAGAAAATTAATAATTGCCAAGTAGGTACTATATAAAATTCAGCAATGTTTATAGTACAGTTTATGTGTAAATGTTTTAATGTAATAATTATATTTATTATTATAGCGTAGGCGCATGCGCAATTAACAAGACAACTAAAGCATGTCGCTAAAGCTATTTATTATTTAAGCACATAATAGTCTGCATGTGTGACCGCTCGAATAAAAAGTAATAAAATCTAGTCTTAAGTTATCGCTATTGTCGCACGCGCTTTTCTATCTTATGTTTGAATCCAAAATACAGCTGACTGTTGACAGTGCGAGGGGGCCACGGCATTCCTGCTACCAGTTTGTTCGCCCGTCCATATGTTACAGTAGTGTGCTAACAGTTTTATATTATTGAAATCATTAAGCTAATCAATTGTTCAGCCCACTGAACGCAAGGGTTGTCCCTGGTGTTAGAGATGAGACTATACTAATAATCGAGTCTTAGTTTCTCCCTTTCAAAGTCACATGATATCATTTTATTTTATTTGTCGCGAACAGAGACTTATATAAAGAGAATTTTAAGAGATTAATTTTCATTTTACATTTTCAAGGTACTTACTATCTGAATATTTAATAACATTAGTGCATTCTTGTAATGTATGGATGCGTAGTAGAATGCATATTCCTTTACATATATATAGAGCTAAATACTCAATTTGTGCCAATATTTTTATATTTCTTACATTATTAGCACAACTTACTTTTAGATGAAAATTCTAATACTTTGTTACTACGATAAATACTCGAGTTCCTTAGATTTTTTATGTCTTAACGATTTGTGCATAGACACTAGTGATGTAATGTATATTCGGCATTCGAATAATAGTATATTTTATGGAGGAACAGTACCCTAAATATCATTTTCTGTACCCATGGCAACGTGTAAAACAAAATTTCATTATGTTCAGCTGTGTATTTAAGACGTGAAAACATAACAAACAAATTAACTTATTTTTGCATTTATCTTTTATTCAAAGTACTTATAAATTTTATTAGGACACATTCGGTAAATAAATGTGCATTTATATTCGAAGTTAAAATGATCGTTACATCACTAGTAGGTATTTATTTTGTTCAAATATGTGTTTATGGCATAAAACCTAGTGTATTTGTGGTAACAATGTTCGCTATAACATTTTTATCCCCCTTTTGTCAAGTGGTAACCCTCACCGTATAAAATATAACTTTAGAACAATAAAATTCACAAATGGTAAATGTTTGTGAAATATTATGTTGAAATCCAGTGTTCACTGTCTGTGTTATACTTGTTAGGTGAATGTGTCACATTGACATTCCATAATATATTTTATTATCAAACAGTCAAATTTTCAAAACATACAGTTTAATTGCCAATCATTATAGTTAAAATGACATTTTTTGTCAAACTCAAAAACTAAGCACTGATAAAACTAAAAATAATTGTGTGTGGTGTAGTGAAAATTTGACCATTTCATCAGAGAAGGACTTTAAATTAACTATCATCTCTTTAAATGTTATATTTATATAAAATAACTAAAGCTTTTCAAATCGTTATTAACACGTGTAGAGGTCATGGTTAGTTCCCATCCAGTAGCAATTCATTCGTCCATATCTTAGTCATTAGAGGTAGCTATTTCATAGATTTACTTTATCTTAAGTACTTAAAAAGTACTTAATTAAATATTCATTGAACGTTATAATTATATAAAGGTAGCTGTCGCGAATATATCAAATAGTATACCGAAAAGAAATATATATTTATAGATATATTAGACATACAAAGCAATATTGAATGGCCTTATAGGTAAGCACAATACATTTCATTTTTTTATAACAGTATTATTTTTTTAAAGCATTTTACAGTTGGCATTTTGTGATATTTATAACATGTTCTTGCAACTTACAAACGCACGGTATTGTTTTTAAAATGAATGATGTCACTAAGATCGTATTGGTCCTACCCTAAAATACGTATCTATAAATGGATAGACAGTTTCCCTAAATACGTCAACTGCATGCATTTGTTAGAAGCAAGAGCTATATACTATATAAATTTATGACAGAACAAAATACTTCTATCAAAACTAATAACATAAATGTTAATATTAATTGTATAAATGTCAATTTAATTACTCTGTTCGTTATTTATGTGGTGTATTCCTGTGTCGGTTGTGGTGGTAAATTTGCCAAGGTTCAACATAGCCAGACACTTATTTTCTGTCTCTCTTATCCTTATAATGTAATAAAAATGTCTAAATAATAAATATAATGTTACCGGCAACTGTTTTGGCAACCATCAGAAGCATAGTTTGATTATACACAAAAGAATATTTTTCACACATTATTTCATTTCAATCCGATATGAAAAAAACTTTAAGGAAAACTATGGTTTTGGTTGAATTTAAAATATTATAACGAGTGTATGTGCATCTCTTATGTCGTATTTAAATGTGGCACCTGGTCGACTTTATGTCGAGTTTGCAGTGATATACAGTCGATTCTACAGACATGACTCCGTAAACTTTAAACCCACCCACCCCAGCTCCATACAACACCTAAATCAAATTGGGGTCAAATTGTTGTGATGTACTGAGCTTAAACTTAGAACTATATTACATCTAATACGACCTATGACCTGCGTCGAACCATGCTGTACTTAACATTTAGTAATAGATACTGTTCCTTATAACTCCAATTGTATGTGATCATTGTAATGGTGTAAGAATAGAAAACAGTGCCTGCTGTCCAGTCTTGCCTTAGTAAAGTGTAAATCCTGTGTTGGAAATTTTAATTTTATCCTTTGTACATATGTAGAGACATAATTGTATATTTTGTAGGTTGTAAAATTTATATCATTGTTTTGTGGCAGCTTGTCAACCGTTATACATTTCTAGTAATTCACGACTGCGTTGCTAGCTTTTATACAAAGATTTTTATTGTGTGTGTGAATTATGTTCGAACTGAGTTTTAAAATTATATTTTTAACAAATTTCACTCACACATTAATAAATGACATTGCATTTCTGAAGATGTTCCCGAAGCAAAAGCTGCAATGTCGTTTATAATATAGACGCACAAATTATATTATCAAAGGAGAGCTACTGCCATTCGTAAATTACAAGAACTATACTTATATGTGTAACTGTGTTACATAAATATTTAAACAATTGACGGTTTGTAAATACAAGCAACGTCACGACTATTACGTCATCAGTGTTCTCTAATGTTGAAACAAGTAGAGCTCGAACATCACACTACTTAGGTAATAATATTTGTTGTAATGTTCCGAATTTTTGAACAACATTTATATATATCCGCCTGAGTTATTTGCATTATATAAATTTATATCTAAATACAAACATGTTGTATTGAGTGCAATGAGTGTATTTCCATATTGAACTTGCCATCGCGTTCTTGCCCCTGGAAAAAAATAATTATTGGGTTAGTTTACTAAATAAATTATATTACTTTCTGATTGACGGCATCTGTAAAGGATACTTTTCTGATTAAAAAATAAATAATCATAAATTTAATAGAAGTCATCTTTTAAGGTCTTTTTTAATTGAGAGAAAATAAATTGCAACCAGCTAAAGCCATTTTAGCACATCAAAATTACTTTTTATCTATGGCACTTATGTGACTGTAATATGTACATATAAAATAATAAATCCGTATTCTGTAAAATGTAAAAATATTCAGTATTGTGATTGAAATACAGTTTACTTTTCTTTCACCTGACACCATTAAATCTATACTGTTGAAATGATACTATATAGACCCTAGTATATGTTGGTTATTATGCGTTATGCGACTAAAAACTCAGTCTGTAATCGGCCTGTAGTAATATAAACTTTTGTGGATATTTTTGATAGCACCTGCAACAACTCGAAACAAGTTGACCTTTAACTAATATTTGTTAATACGTAAGCATTGATAGTTGAATGGAGACATCGTTTATTTTATTGGTCGCAATAATATTAATACATTAAGTACCTAATGCAAAATATTTCGACCAGCGCATTTATCGTATCAATTATTAAAATTTAATCATCATCATTGCAACAATGTAATATTATCATTTTTGAAGTCCTTTACGTGAAGACGCTGTGTCAGTAAATAAGTATTGGATCTCAAAACCGGCTCAATTAGCGGCATAGTACAAAATTTTTAAAACTAGCGGAAACTTCGTGGTAAGCCTTTTCGTAACAGATATGGCACGTCGCAAGAGCTACCGTGGTTGATGCTGCACAAAGAAATTGCTATTTCTTTAACCAACTATCTATTATCAAATTTTTGTTTTATAACATATTACGCAGTAGCATTATATAAATTTATATGCTTAAATGGTGATGATAGAAAATTATATAATGTAAGCACAATTCTAATCAATTATTACTTTGTTATAAATTATCATTAGATTTTTTCTCTCTATTGTTTTCTCTACACAAACAATAAAAATTTTAAGAGCAGTGTATTTTCAATGTTCTTTAGTAAATAATAATATAAGTACATATCAGCAACTCAGGTTCTACAATTAAAAAACTACTTCTTGTAAATTACTGTACCTTCTTTTTAGCGTCGGAATAATAGATAAAAATATTTTAAGATCTATGTACCTGATCTACCTTCAAGTTCTATGAATAAAATACCCGAAATGACATTTCCAGTTAAAAGATAATTACTGATATATAGTTTACTACAAATCATTGATATGCCAACATCACTCACGAAGTCAATTTTCCTTCCTGTAGTGGTAGTTGCCATATCTTTGTTTAGGACAAGGATATGTCAAACTATAGGCTCTGCATAACTGATAACTTTGTCCTTATACATATGGTCTTGTCGCGACTATCCAAAGGCCACGACCGTCACACAATGCACAATAGACTTAATACAGAATCAATGCAATTTTTTTGTTTATACAGTTAATATATTATGTTATAAATATATGATTGTAATAAATTCCTTTACATGGACAGTTTTGTTCTGTCCTTCTAAACAGTAGTAAAAAGTTACGTTTTGTGAAAATAAATCGTTTGTTTAAATCAAGGTACAAGTTTTATTGACACCACCAACTTTAATTTTGATTGTTTTTAACTTTTGATTGTTCACCAACATGTCTTAGTATGCACAATCCATCAACCACAATAAACAAGAAAAGTATTTAATAAAAATAAACAATAATCCAACTTCGTGGAAAAGTATAGATACCTACTTGAAATTTACAAACTGGCGATTTGAATATGTATTTAAAATTGTCAATACGCAGTGCAACTCTTACAGTTCAGACATATCAAAAGCTGTTTGCTGTATAAATATTTTATGATTCGTTTTCACACCAATACAAATTCGTCTATCTACAGTCTATTTGTTCATGCAAAGGTTGCTTTTTGGCGATAAGGCGGCTATTAGTTTTTTTATTATATACAGTTAATTATATTCTAATGACAATCAAACACCTAAATGCATCAATCCGTTTAGGCTACAGAGTAAATTACACACACTCGAAACAACCTACCATTCTGGTAAAAAGAGAGTATTTTGCTACCCACCTCTAAGGATGTCCTATTTTTCTGGGATTGTCTTACATAATTTACACTACCTAAACTGCGAAGTTATTCGAGATCCTGCTTGAGTAACGTTTGTGGGTTTGCTGGATCTCTCCAACCACCTTGTGTACATAACTTCTTAACAATTAGTTTTAATTTGTTGTGCAATGAAAACCATAAATGACGCACCGTTTAAATATTTTGGTATAAGGGTAAGAAAATAAGAATAAATATACATATAAGTATACATTTTTACCGCAGTTACGACTCAGAGCAGAAGAGGAGAGCATAAATCTTAGCTTTAAAGGACAGTCGACTAATTCCCATCCTAATTGGTTGTTTTAAAGTGTTCCAGAGCACACAATGGATAGAAGAAAATTAGAAGGTGATTTGAGATTTCTATTATGATTAGAGCAAAAGTTACTCATGAGCATTATCGTCGTCATCAGCCTTTAATAGTCCACTGCTGAAGATAGGCCTCTCAATTACAAACGAGGTTTTGGCCTACTATATTACACTGGCAAAACGATTGGTATAGGATTTATATCAAATTTTCCTTCTCCTTGCAGTGCTGTGCTGCGTAGTTTGCTCCCTTTGTCGACTCTTACGACACCCACGGAATGAATAGGGGTGGTGTAGTGACACTCCGTATTCTTAATCTGCCACCACACGGATGGAAGTTACTGTACAAAACTTACTGAATATTTTCAAACTTAATTCACCAACTTGGATATCGGCTACTCGCTGGTGTTTCTAACCAAAAAAATGCTTAGTGCAATGTAATTTTACATTCATCCCTTTCGTGCTTTGTTACGGAAGTTAATTGGTGCATTTGCAATTTTCGCATAATAGGTTCTGAGTTATTTTCTTACAAAGTAACAAGATATCTCTATGGGTTGTCGTTTTTATCATGACAATAGCAACAGCAGTTTTACTAATTCGTACTGATGTGAATGCAAGACAAACTTAAACCCGTGGAATACGAAATTAATGCGTTATAAAGTACTAGACAAATTCTCAATCATTTCAAACAATATCATTTTGAAACTAAAACTGCTTAGTAGCACCAAGCTATTGATTTCGCAGTGTAGACGTAGACCAATCGATGTAGTGCGACGATGACGTAATCGCACATCGTAGCGGCCAAGGCCACGGCCACGGCCACAACCAAAACGCGATTTAAAATTTAGATAGGTGCAAAATATCGTGGTTAAAACAAGTTTTACATGTAGCCTGTTGCTTTTTGTTAGTGTTTGCCATTAAATACATTCGTGTAAGAGTCAGTATAAAAGTATAAGCTACATGGTTTTACAGAAGCTGTCCCATGATCTATGGTCCTTTAAAAAAAATTGACGTTCCATCCACATTCCATGTTACTTTTACTTTACTCTGTGCGTTTTCATTCATTTAAAACTGTCAGGTTATCGTAAATATTGTAAATCGTTCCTCGATTTTGCTTTCATGTAAACACATAAATGACTAATTAGAAGGTCACAAAAATACGTAGCACAAAATATTTTCGTCTAGTATCACTCACTCACTCACAGTCGTCTCGTCCGCCGTTAGTGTTTGTCCGTGCCGTCGTAGCTTGTTGACGTGTCGCGGTTACACTTCACAACTCGATACGATATTTTCCTCGTGAAAAAGTGTATGAAAAGAATCGAGTTAAAATATTATTATCATCTTAATAATTTATATAGTCCAAACTGCCATTAGGCGAATAACAAATCGTGTATGCTGAGAATAATAAGAAATTTCTGCACGATGAAGCCACCTGTCAATGTAAGTATATATTTTTTTATATTTAAAAAAATGTGGGTGTTTTGCAGTCTAAGATTCCTGGACACAAACAAGTCGTAACTTCCGAGCTATGTGCTTGATTTTTTTTGGAGCTATGTTATGTCCTCTGATTTTGTACAGTTTGTTTATAAAATCAGTAATTTACCGTTTGATTATTTTAACGTTAAAATTGTTTTTTTTTTCTAAATGATTGCTGCTGCTAGGTACACGATTTAAAACGCATTATTTACCAATTATACTATGTACCTACCTATAACTCCTTATCTACTAAATCTCAACAACAACAAGAATATAAATGAAGTATAAGTGTAAATGACTAGTCGATAGGGTTTAAGATCTTCAAAAAATATCTAAGTACGAATAAAAAACGACATCAGAAGAAAGTCTGAATAAGGCAATAATAAGCGAATATATCACTTTACTTTCTACCTTTTGTGGTCTAATTCTGATATAATATTGCGAAATAATATATTTATACATAGATATATGATGCAATTTTCGGTAAAGCAAAACATGACACCTGATAATCAATTTTGAATTAGGTAAAAGTTTTTTGCCGACAATGTTTTTTTTTTAAAGACAACCTTCGCATTTCGAATATATCCTATGTCGCGGGGGACTTTACAAACATACATACATGAAACAGACACAAAGAACACAAAGATTCAGATCAAAACATTTGTGGAATTTGCATTTCTTTTTTTTTGGAACAGAATTTGTGGATAACACAAAGTGTCGTCCTATCTGGAAATCGGACTCACAACTCTCATCGTAGTAGTAAGCGTCGTGGCGACCGCTTAAACCCATAAGCTATCCGTGCAGTCAAAGAATTGGAGATGATATCGCAAACTTTGACTGTTTAAATGTATGATTTCTTATTACCTATAAACCGTCATCATCATCAGCCTAACACCGCCCACTGCTGAACGAATGCTAGCCCACCCGGTCTTGGGCAGTTCGCACCCGTCCGCTGCCAGCCCCTTTCCTCAAGTGTTGGTCCATCGTCAGAGGCGAGCTAGATAACCAAAGGCCCTGGTGCAAAAAAAAACTGAGGCACATTCTCATCTCATTTTCTCAATTTTGAATGGAATCCAAGTTTTTATAAAATGAAATTAAAACTGTGATTTCTCATAAGCTTCAATGTTAAATGCTAAATATTTCAAAGTTTAATATGTTTTACTGATTCTCTGTAGTTTTTCGAAAAATTATATTTTATCTTTATCGTATTATTTTTTACTAATATGCCAAATTAAAAAAAAAGGTAACTTTCTAACCGGCAGTACTACCTTAAAGTCGTGTTACAACTTATTTTAGTTACATTCCAAAGGTGGGAGAATTTTTAGCTAATTCAATACGAGGTTTGTTGGTCAGGGTCCGAGGCCCCCCTAAGCTTGGGGGCCTCGGTGCACAGTCCGTCACCGTCTAGCCCTTCGGTAGCTGCGCCACTGTCCATCGTGCCGCAGTGTCATACACTACGTTGCCTAATTGTGGTCTCCATTATGACAAATGTCGGCTCCAGCGACAGTCAGTCCGCCTGGAGACATGACCGGCCCATTTCCATTTCAGCGTACTGATTTTCCGTGTAATGTCGGGTACAATAGTTTTCTATCAAATAGTTTCGTTTTGAAATTTATCGACAATAGAACATCCCAGCATCGCACGCTCCATCGTACACTAAGCAGCTTCCGAGAAACTCCGATAAATCGTAGTGGTTCAAAATTATATGGATATTCTAATGGCAACACTTCACTTATTTTTCTTTGAGAGAGTCACTACCAGTTATGTTCTATAGAGCAGTTTAACTTGTTTATTCTGAATATGACTCTTGCTTGACACAGTGGCGGTCATTTAAGCGCCTACCACATGACTTTCTTCGAAAGATCTTTAGGATTCTATTTTCAATTATTTTTCATACGGGTGTATGTTTAAAAGGTTATATTTAAGTTATTACTTTTGTAAAGTTTTCTTCACGAATTGCATCGAATGCACTTCTTGTGGTTACAGCAGAAATAACATATATTTTTGTTAAATGCGTAATCTTGATTGGCAGAAGACTGAATAAGCAAAAGATCTGCAATAAGCAAAAAAAAAACGTCCGATAAATTCATTGAGACGTGCTGTTTATTGTGAGGAGGGTCATCTTTAAATTAGAGTGATAAAACGATAGTTCCTCAAACGTCAGTTTAGAGAATATTATTGATATACTTAATTAGTTTCAATTTTCTTAACGTTGCAATTCTTTCTTTTATTTTTATTCTACATAAATGTTATCACTCTCACTGGGTTCACCAAACTGCTGTTATCGAATCAATGAACGGATGTTTCAAACAATTACGTCCTTCTTTTGAGGGGTCCAGAGATAACAAAAGTGCGACGCAGTTAATCTTGTGGCGACTTCACATTTAAGTAAGTTTACATCGTTGTGGTTCGAAGTCGCCACAATCTATTGTATTTGAATGATCATTGTTGTCACACTCACACAATTGAAAAACTATCTTTTTTTTTAAATATATTCATTGGATGTCATTCTCTACATCTTGTACATGTGACGAATTAACAAAAGAGTGTTGTGAATGATGTTGGTCCACACTGCAACACATGTCAAATGACAATTGTTGGAAGAGGTATGCTGAAATGTTACGGTCTTAACGAATATTTAGATGAGTCTGCATATAGTTTTTTAAACGATTGCGATGAGAATGTAGAAGACGGGTGACTGGTAGATCACATTTTCAAAAGAGCCCAGGACGCGTTGTAAGTCATATAAGGCAATTGAATCAATAACGCAAATCATATATGTAATTGTTCAAAAAAGTGACACTATTGTCGTTGACTATTTCTAAGTTGATGAATTAAGAAATTGTCACGAAGGTGTCAATTTTTTAATGTGACAATAACATTTTAATAAAAAAAAGATAATCTTATTGTTAGTAAGAAAGTGGTAACAATGAGAAATTAATATAGGTATTTTATTTTGTTTATACATATAAACTAAGATTTGTGTAGCCTGTAACTCAATTATTGTTACTGTTACTATTGTTTACTGTGTTACGTATCCTGCGCGAGACTATTTAATTACGTAGGTATGATAATGGGTATGACTAATGACAACTGCTTTCCGTGTGTTATGGACGCCCCGAGTAGAGGCCGCCAACCCTGGCACATTTGTGGTTTAAGAATCTTTATTTCTCAAAAGAATTTACAAAATTCACTTACTGAGAAAACATACATAAAAGTAAACAAAATAAATCCATTGAGCGTTTGAATATAATATAAAATAAAAGTGGGTAGTCAAATATATTTTGCGTAAGATTACGAACCTGCAAAACACTCGAACACAGAAAACAATGGGAATCCAAGCAACTGAACCAAAGATGTAACTTGAAATTATTAACTAGATGTGGCATCCAGATGGTAAGTACACTCTTCTACTTTTATTACTGAATTCTTTTTTTTTTTTTTTTTTTTTGATACTTGATTGAGACTTGAGATTTTGTTTTATTTTTTATTTTTTTAGTTTTTTTGATTTATTTATTAAGATTTATATTTGTAAATATAAAAACATACACATATGCATAGACGTACATATACACATACATATACATACACACACATACACATGCACTTACACACACACACATACGCACACACACGAATATTATGTGCATATAGAATTGTTTTTATCCTTATTAGTTTATTTGATTGTGAATGTTTTAGTACAATAATAATGTATTAACTAATAAGTAGCTGCTATGTGTTTCTTCAATGTTTTTTTAAATTTAGTCAATGTAGTAGCATGTTTTATATTTAATGGTAATTTATTGTATATCTTTACTCCTTCAAATTCAATATTCTTCTTTCCATAGTTCGTTCTGGGTGGTCGAGTTACAAGATGGGTAGCGTTTCTTAGTTTCATTTTTTGCCGAGCACTATTTGTTGTAAAAGATAAACTAGTATGAATATTTCTGTTTAATATTTTACGTACCAATATACACGTGTAGTATATATAAGTTTGCTTTATGGTCATTATTTTGGTGTCCTCGTATATTTTTTTAGTGGGAGTACGGAAGTTGTATCTAAAAAGAACCTTTATTAATTTATTTTGTTTTCGTTGTAAGTCATCTAATATAGTTTTACCCGCGGTTCCCCATATTTCCACTAAATAATCAATGTGTGGTTTGACTAGAGAGTTATAAATAAGGTATCGGACTTTGTGAGGAATACATTTAGTTATACTGAATAGGCAACCCGTCAGTGAAATAAGTTTATTTTTAATTTTATCTATTTGGGGTTTCCAGCTCAGGCGAGTGTCCAGAATGAGGCCAAGATATCTTTCATATGTCTTTCTCTTGATTGGTTCGTTATTTATGATCAGTGGTATATTATCAATAATTTTTTTGTTTTTGGCTGCAAAAATGACATAGTTTGTTTTTTTGGTATTTATAGTTAGTAAATTATGTTGGAACCAATCATTTAACATATTTAAATCATTCTGAATTTGGGGTTTCATAGCATCGACAGAATGGCCGTAATAAAATAGGCATGTATCATCTGCATAAAGTGAAATATCGCCCTTAAGTCCAATTTGGGATATGTCATTGATATAAATTAAGTACAAAAGTGGTCCCAAGATTGAACCTTGAGGAACTCCATAAGTAAGATACTTAGGAGAGCTGTGATGTTGCCCGATTTTTACTATTTGCTCACGGCCGCTTAAGTAAGATGTTAATATTCTTAGCGCTTTGTCTTTAATACCTATATTAAAGAGTTTCTGTAATAATATCTCGTGGCTTATTGTATCAAACGCCTTTTTAAGATCAATAAAGATGCCTAGCACTATTTGTTTTTGATCAATTTTATTCTTAATTTTGGTGATTAAATCAATAGTGGCCGAAAGAGTATTTGAAAGTGGACGAAAACCATATTGTCTACTATAAAAAAAGTCTTTTGATTTTAAGAAGGTTTCCAGGCGTATGTAGATCACTTTTTCGAAAATTTTAGAGATAACTGGAAGTACCGAAATTGGACGATAATTACAAGGGTCAAACCTGTTGCCAGATTTATAGATAGGAATAACTTTGGCTATCTTTAGGCTACTAGGGAAAGTGCTAATTTCAAAACTTTCATTGATGCAAAACGTTAGTTCTTCTAATATTAAGTTTTTGATACATTTAATCGCTTTAGTGCTTATACCATCGATACCAGAGCCAGTATTGGGATCCAATTTATCTATTATTTTTATTATTTCATCAGTAGTTGTCGGTTTTAAATGGTTTAGTTCAGTTGCATCACTAATTACAGCTATGTTTCCTGTGTCGTATCTATTGGTTTTATATTTATTCGGAATTTGGTTTGCTAAAGCTGAGCCAATAGTTGAAAAGTAGGTATTGAGTTGTTCGCTGATTTCAAGTTCATCTGTGACAGTGTTAGTATCAATTACGAGTTTGTCCGGCCCATTGTTATCTTTTATTTTGTTTTTGGAAAGGTCGTTGATGAGTTTCCACAATTTACGAGGCTTTGTCATACGTTCTTCAAAACATTTTAGGTAATATTCACTTTTTGCCTTCTATACTTTTCGAATTGTTTCTACCCTAGCTTTTTCGTAATCTCTCATTAGTTCTAAGTTTGATGCATTTGTTTTAAAAGCCTTCCATAGTTTGTTCCTGTTGTTAATAGCCTGGATAATATCGCCATTGATCCAATCTATCTGTGGTGGATTCAGTGTTTTAGTTTTAATAATTTTGCTCTTACTTAGAGCTAGAAGTATCTTCTCATGAAGTCTCTCGTACACCTTTTTCTCTGTATTTACAGGGTTGTCCTCAATATACTTATACAGTTTAGTGTAGTCAATGGCAGTATAGTTGGTTTTCTTGAGAGGAGTAGGTTGGTAACGTTTTACTTCAAAGAATATTTGTTTATGGTCTGACATCGCAGATTCTATGATAGCAAAATGAAAATCATTGTCTTTCAAGTTAGAACAAACATGATCTATAATGGTCTTGGTTGTCGTCGTTTCACGTGTACAGTACTTTGCGTTGATTTTATTCAATATCTTGAAGCCATTTTCTTTTAGCGTGTCCTTGTATTTTCGAGTATATAAATTATTTGGATCCAAAAGGTCAAGGTTATAGTCTCCAAAAACTATAGCTCTCCTTTTGGTGGCTAATTGGTGGGAATAGGTCTCGATAAAGTCAGCCATATTGGATTTATCAGGGTTGTAAATGGCACCGATATCCAAACAAAACTTGCTAACATGTATCCATAGGTAGTGTTTATGTTGAATGCAGTAGTCTTCCACTGGGTGGTGCTTTAAGTTGTTATGTACAAAGATAGAAACTCCACCTCCTCGTTTGTCTTTTCTGAAGTTATAGTAATGTGTGTACTCTGGTATTTGAAATCTTTTGGCCATCTCTTCATTTTTAAACCAGGTTTCAGTAAGTATGATCATGTGCATGGAAGTTTGAAAGGATGCAAGAATACATTGTAATTCATCAAATTTGCCGGGCCGTACGATACTCCCAGCATTAACGTAGAAGAATTTTAGCGACTTCTTATCATATTCAACATCTGTATATTTGTTTATGACTTGGTAGGTGATTTTACCTTGAGAAGTTAGTTTTTTGAAGTTGATTCCACGAGTGCTGGTTGATTGTCCGTCATAGTTATTATCTTCGGAATACCTTTGATGTACTTGATTCGAAGATTTATCTCTCCATTAGAATTACGTTTATGGAGCTCATCTATTAAGGTCTGCAAGTATTTTCGCTGGATGAGAGTTTGATCGGCGTATATTTTGATGTTGGCTAAATCATGATTGTTTTTATTGCGTAGAATTATTTTTGGTATATCCGATGAGTTAAAACACACTTTAACTGCTCGCGTATGGCCTGGTTTGTATTTTCCAAGACGGAATGTTTTTTCTGATTGGGGACAGTCAGCAAAAATTTGTTTAGTTATTTTTGAAGTCTCTTTTTTGTCATATTCTTGTCGTTCGGCGGCCAACTTTATGGTACTTTCAACTATTCCATGTATTATGATATTTTTGGATCTTAACTTCCGCTCTTGTAGTTCATTTACCATTTCTTCGTAAGTTATGTGTGGTTGGAGTCCTTGGGCAGCTGAAGCTATAGGAGGTGAGGTTTTAAGCTTATTAACATCCGCTTCTAAAAGATTAATTTTTTTCTGAGAGTTTTCGGTGATAGTTTCCAAACCTATCAGTTTAGTTTTAAGATAGTTATTTTCAACTGCAATTTTCTCCATTGTGTTATTTATGGCATTTATATGGTTTTTTATAGACGTTACTTCTTCATAAAGTTTATTGGTGTTGTCCGTTTGGTTGTTTTTAACAGATGTTAGAATGGCCATCATCTCGGACATTTGTTTTCGAATTTCGGATAATTCAGCTCTAATTGGATCATTGTCGTCAAACAGCTTCCGTTTGCGAAATGTGATCTGTGGAGGAGCGCCCGAATCTACTACTGACAAGTTTGGCTGAGAACCTCCGAAACTGACATCAGTGCCACTTCCAGTCGGTGAGCGTAGTACGCTCATCGTAGATCTGTGTACAGCGGTGATACACGTGAACAGTGCGATGGGTGTAAGCTCCCCGCTTGATGAAGGGTTAAGAAAGTAATGAACTCGTCTCTCTTACCCGAAGGTGTGAGGAGCTATCACCTCGTAGGTGCTGCTGCAATGCACCCGTCACTCAGAAGACTGTAGACGTAATTACACTATTCACTGTTGTAGCAAAAGATGTTATATTCAAGTGTCGTAAAACTTAGAATCCTTTGGTCGCAATTTTGTGTATTTAATAAATTACTCACAACACGTCCGCTCTGTACGGTTTACGCTCGCTACTTACATTTTAGAAAATGACGGTCTTTTGACATCGAAAGACAAGGTTTCTCCCATCGCATTCTGTACACAAAATATACAAGTGCCTAGTATAATTATTTGGACTCGGTGATAAACCTTTATAGGCGTATTTTCTACTTACATCCGGTACTTGTAAGAAGAGCCCTGAACTGGGAAATCTTTGTTGTTGAGAAGGCAAGATGCATTCTCAAAAACATAGGGAGTCTTTAAATTTACATACTAGGCGGCTTTACTATACCAACGCTATATGCTATATCATTTTTTGCAGATTTTTCAAGCCTACAAAAATGTGAATTTTAAAGTTTAATTAAACGCAATCGGACTAACTTGTTTTTGAAAGACCTATCCATCCAAACTATGGTGGATAGGCACAAGAAAAAAGATCAGCAGTGCTAATCTCTCAGGAAGCAGCTTTACGTACAGCGCTGCCACAGCATCGACTACCTAGTAAGAATAGCACTGCTGGTAATTCACCTTGAAAATATGCAGCATTACCACGTTTAGTAATAGTCCTGATGAATTAAGAATACGGAGTGCCACCACCTCTATTCATCCCGTGTGTGTCATAAGAGACTGCAAACAGAAGGAAAACTTGACATAATCCCAACATACCATACACCGACCCGTCTGGCCAGCGTGGTATAGTAGGTCAAAACCTCCTTTCTTAGGAGAGGCCTATGTCCAGCAGTGGACTACTAAAGGCTGTTGTTGATGATGATAATGATGATTATATAAGCCAAATAAATTCTACATTTCTCAAAGCGAATATGGCTAAAAAGCGAGCATAATTCACTGTTATCTAGCGCTGTTAATCCAAACCACTTTGCCACTCTTAACCCAGAAACGGTCTATGAAAGTTCTAATAATTGTTTACACCACCTAAACGTGGCAAAATTGCCTTGCGGCGCTTTTCGTAAAATATTTTGGAAACAATCTTCTTCGATCAGACATTTTAATTACATACATCATACTTCTATAGGTAAATGGTATGCGGTAATCAAGTGTCGGTGATACATTCAGTTCAACTGTATACCTTTTCAGCGTTCATCAAGCTCTTTGCTGGTTATTTTATTTGTGTCTAATGTAAAGTAAATAATAACGTTTTGATGTTTTTACAGCCCGCTCTCCTGCACGATGTGGACGTCGCAACCAAGAAAGCGACCTTCGGTATGGGCTGCTTCTGGTCAAATGACTCTCTGTTCGGAGCCAAATCAGGTGTCATAAGAACACGCGTCGGTTATTCTGGTGGCACTTCTAAAAATCCTACATATAGGAGTATGTAAGTATTCTACAACTAATCAATCCTGTACACTGATATAAATTTAAAGTTTTTAATAAACAACATCTGACTAAGCAGCTTACTAAGCAACTTGTTTAAAAAATAATAATGTTTTTTTACCACACGGAATAGACACAACATACTTTTACTCGATCGATAAAAATCGATCATTGTCTCTGCTATGTCAACATTAAATAAGTTCTATTATTAGATGTTGAACCTGCAAAGACAATGGTGAACACCGTATTGAACATAAATATCTCCTATTTTTCGCCTTAGCACTCGGTTTTTTCGGACTGCCTTTAGCGTCTTATTGGGCGTTAGTCCTTCGTTTATTACTGCTAAATTTCTAACGTCATTCTAAAAAAAGATTAGTTATCCTAATTGAATTGACTTAAAATTTACAATTGTTTAACACGTGATAACTTATTATTACAAGTTAACCTTCTTATTACTCCATTAACACTAGTAGTTATTATGCGATTAACTATATAGTACTAAAGTCTTTAGCTTAAAACCTACCTATTCTTGTAATGCGATTACGAGCTCATTGGGATGAGAAATTGGAATGCTGACACTTTCTTATTTTGTTATGTAGGATTGTGTATTATGTAGTCATAGTAGTTAAGTCACATAATTTGAGGCAACAACAACATATTAGCTGGCCCAATCACCATAGGTAAGATTTTTATCAGTTTCGTTTTTTTAAATGATCGAAAATAAGTAGTTCATTCTTCAGTGTAAGTTCATTCTTTGGATTCATTCGTTTTCCTGTCAACTTTTCGGCTACACAGCGGGACAAATCATTCAGCTGTTATTAGTCATGCGTTTATAAACTACTTATCAGAATTTATTTTTCGTAAATTTAGTAAATATATATAGATATATTATAGTTTACGATATATATATTTTATTACTTGTAGGTGTTAACTTTGGATGATAAGAACAGTAATTCAAATTTGCAAAAATTCAAAGCTAATTGAAATTGCTAAAAGACTTTGGATATTATATTTTCTTTAAAGCCCCAAAGTTTACGTCATGCGTAATTGAATTGTTTTATTATCACCAAAACAATATCATACTTCCAGTGACTAAATAATTAGTATCTACACGTGTCCGATAACGTAGAATTTCATTCTAATCATAATTACTCTTGTGTTTGAACTTATATGATGTTAAGTCCGTAGTAAATTATATTGTGTCACGAACTAGATTATTTCCTTTAATATTTTATTTTATTTGTTATTAGACTTGACCAGTTGATATCTCTGTTCTAATTGCCTTTTCAAAGACAGGACTACCGTGTCATTCGGATTTCCCATTAAAGAGTATCCATCACTATTTCATTTCGCTATCCATTTTCCTTTCCCAATTTTACTACCTTTCTATGATCCATGTGAAAACAATTACATTCCCAATATGGACAAACGTCAGGCGTTGTGCCAACCCCTACTAAAATTGGGAAATGAGCACCAAGTGTCAAGAAAAAAATTACAAAAAGTAGGGAAACATTCTAGACTACTTATTACCCGCGGCTTCGCTCGCGTGATAAAAACCATCAGCTGCCAAAATTTCAAGTTTGTAGCTCCAACAATGAATGATTGATGATGATGATGAAATAATGAATCAATCAGTTAGTCAGGGCAAGTAATTTTATATGTATGTATTGTTTTGTCGCTTATGATTTAATGACCAAAATTATCTGTAAACAGAGAGAAATGATTTAATATATTTGCCGTGACCGTGAATTTCTGAGTGTACCTAAAGAACACAAACTATGTTACATAAAACAACGCTATACATACGTATCTATAAATACAACTACTTCTTGTGCCAAAATCTAGTAAAAATGTTTACGAAAATGTTTAATCAACAGTCAAGTAATAATAGTCAATCTAGTCTCGCTTTTTGCGCATCACAAAAATAAATTACTGGACGACCAGCAAATTTTTGCACACGAATTTAATGTCAGTGACAAACAAAGACATTTCAAGTTTACTTTTGCACACCACCATTCTTGTGTAAATAATATCTCTAGTAGGTATCTATTAGATATTCACATAAACCTCTCAAATGTCTAATTCATGAAGTACGAATATTTCAAACATTAATTTCCTTTTGTAAACTTTAAAAATAAACAAAATTATTTTTAAAACCCTGTAAATACACTATAATAGATTTTAGTTTAGAATAGACTAAAAGAGTAGATTCTAAGAAAAAATTACTACGCTTAACTTTTTCCTCAGTAGAATCGTTGTTTATATACAGTAACATGGCTTTCATTTTACATTCATCCCATTCTATGGAGACATAGTTTTCCTTCTCTTGGCAGTGTTTTTGTCCTGCGTAGTTTGCTGCCAGTTTGCTTTTACGGGAAAAGGAACTTCTGTAACTCACTAAAAATATATATGGGAAGGTTACGCATTTAAATTATTTCATCAGTGTGGTGACGGATTAAGAATAGGGAGTGTCACCAACCCTATTCATACCGTGACAACAGCACTGCAAAGAGAAGGAAAACTTGACACAAACCCTATACCAACCCGTCTAGCCAGCGTGGTATAGTAGGCCAAAACCTCCTTTCTAAGGAGAGGCCTATGTCCAGCAGTGGACTATTAAAGGCTGTTGATGCGATGAAGTGAGGTAAATCGACACGCTCTACTAAGTTATTAATCTAATCACGTCTAATATTATACGAGTGCCAAACAGAGACGGCGACACGTGAATGTCACGAGATTATTATCATTACATTATTCATTTATTCTTGCACAAAAATAGTATAGAGACATCCTAAATGCGAGATAAGCGGGCCTAATTTGACGTTTGCTAAGGTTGCGCATGCGCAAGGACAAGGCTGCGTCTAAGTTATTCTATATAGTAATGAATAAAGTGATGTGGCAACATTTTTAGTTGAACTAAATGATGTGCGAATTTGTTGTTATCAATCAGTTTGCTCAGAATAAACATATACTTAGAAATAACAGTGTTTATTGTATAGATAGACAGTAATAGCGTCAATCGTCAATGCGCTTGTGGTTTTTAACACCACCTAGTAGTATTAAAAATAAAGCCCGCACTAATAAATTACATTCAGGCACAACAATCTACACCGTAGTCGACCGTAGATATGTAAAGTTATTTAATTTCTTGGGGTTGTTGTGTGGGGAGTGTTGTGTGTTATAAAAGTAAAAAAAATGTAAAAAAAATAGGTATTTCAGGTACCTCATACATTCGTTATGCTCAAGACTTTGGGTACCAGACTTTGTTTTCGAAATATATTGAGAAAAATAAATACAACATATATATCCAAATGTAATTTAAAACGAGAAATGATAAAAAGATATGAAATATATTTAAGTTTGTGGATTTAAATAGGTATACGATTTTGACCCAATCGGTTTTTTTTTGTTTTTTTTCAATAGTAAGTTGTTAAAAAAATACATTCATTATCTTTGATACTCATTGTCTTGACACATGTATACCTATCTACATTCAAAAGTCACTCGTTATTAAATTAGTTTTTATTAACATCATGTGTTGCCATGATGCATAAAATTATTTGCATAATACTACTAACGGCATGAAGTTTTGGGCAAAAAGGCACTGGTTTGAAACAAAACAATTTTACGGTTAACTTTTAATTGGTGTGGTCAAGAAATAAGAAATCATATTTTATGTATGTGTAACTAGATTTTAGATAAGCGCATAAGGACTGTAAGAAGTGGCATCAGGCGCCGGAGAGCGCAGAACGATCTCCAACCTTAATGCCTGCTGGCCTGGGGGTAACGGTGACGCTTGTCGTTACCTTAGCAGCATCAGGTCTGAGTCTCTAATGTGACTACTTATGGCGGACAAAGTCCAAATTTTGGCGATTACTGATTTTTGTATTCGGGTAATATTTATTATTAAGCCGGTACGATTACTATTCTCAAACCCGACGGGTTTAGTCTGCGTGTCAGAACGTGATCATCATACAGTTATTTGTCCTGAATGAGAATCGAGTCCTCGACCACCGGTTTAGCAGGCAGGGTCATTAACCATTTGGCCAACAGACCCGTCTACTGGCCGGTCAATGTAAAAGTTGTTTATGGAAAAATTACCGTAATAATGAACGTATTTTATTCATGTAAAACACTTTAAACTTCTTTTCACACCAAAATTGCCCATAAAATTATCTATTTACAGTCTATTTGTACATCAAAAGCTTGCCTGTAAAAGATTGATTTTTAGCGATAAGGCCGCCATTTGTATATAGTCATTAACTTGGAAAACTATTGTATGTATAATGTATTGAACTAGTGTACAATAAATATTATTCTATTCTATTATTTTCAGTGGTGACCACACAGAGGTGATCGAGCTGGACTATGACCCGAAGACTATTAAGTTTGAAGATCTCTTAGAAATGTTTTGGGAAAACCATGAGTATGGACTTACAACTAAACTAAAAAGACAGGTAATTATTATTTATTAACAAGCTTGCTATTAACTTCCTTTCTAACTCACTAACTTTGTCTATTACTATACTACGAGTATACTAATTTGGATAGTTCCAATATGTCCAGTTATGGTATTTATATTTTTACATCTTAGCTCTGATTTAATGATAAAGGCAGGAGGTGGTTAGTGATCCCGTCGAGTAAGGGCTCATTTCGCATTCGTTTTAACGAGTCTAATTAATTGAACTTTTTTTACGTGAACCTGAACAGGGCTCACGTTAAAGTGGTATGTCGGAATCGAACCGACTATAACCACACGGTGTTGCATCCCACGCACAGATTCTGTGGTCGCCCGTGAGTCCATTGCAAGGGACTGGTTTATACCTTAGGAAGGAAGTCCCCGAGAATACCTACTTGACTGAGCTCAGTCAAGGCGGTCTGATATTGAAGCCAGAGGTTTATGGTTTCACTCTTTGTTATTAAACCGATTTTTATATACTTAATTTTCTTAGTTTAAGTAGCTTGTTTGTTATTAGATTACTATCAGATCGTATCAATCTGACCTGTAACATTATTTTCAGATAAGATAGCCACTTTATGAAAGGAGATTAAACACTGGGTAACACTACGATACCAACGTAAAACCAGTTTGAAGAACACTCACTTGTAAACAAATTTAGTCAAAACAAATGAATTCACAATATTAAAGTTTTTATCGTGTCACCTTTTAAGTTCGTTAACATATTCGCGTCTGTCAAGTCATTTGGCTAACAAGTAATCCGTATAACGTTAGTTCAGAAATTAAGAATTTTTAATACTTTGAGTATTTGTCGTTTCATAGCAAAAATATTTAGCTTCGGTTTCTTTTGTTCAATCTTATTTATGAAAAAAACACATATATTATTTCTCTAGGTCGCAAAGTGTAGTATTATTGACTGAAGGTCAAAATTAGCATTCACAGCATGTGGAATAAAACGATAATACAATTAAGAAGGTTATTGAATCGAATAAATTGAAAAATGTAGTAGGTAACTATCTACCTCTTAGGCCGTACGGGTTCTCCTTCTATAACTTCTTGTATTGGGGGCTGGGACCGGTCATATTTTATGGGTCATAGACCTAAGTACCTATGCAAAAACTTTGTGTACACACTATTCATTCATGTTTCTTACACGAGGGACTTAGAATAGAGGTATCTGGGCAGCGCGTGCATTGGCGCGGCTGCTGCCCAACATGAGGGGACCCGATGACTTTATGGGGCCCCAGTATAGACGGAGGCCCTGAGAATAAGTCGTACGTCGAACTACTACGATGACCGTAGCGAGTGCTGGTCATCAGGGTCATAAGGGGTACTGGAGGTACTGCACGATCTCCTTTGAGGCGGCGAGTCTCCTTGTCGGAACTCCACCGTCGGACCCGGAGGTGAGAGCCCTTGCGGCTGTAACAGTGCCGCAAGGAAGCGCGGGAGTTGGGTCCAGAGTGCTGAGTCTCAAAAAATCGAAAATCATAAGTCCAAACTCCGCCAGGTCCTCGTGAAGGAGTGGAAGGAACGACTTGGGCAACCAAGCGCCGGGCACGTCGTTATTGCGGCGGTAAGACCCATTATGGAGGATTGGCTCGAGAGTCAACACGGGACTCTCTCATACCGGCTGACGTTTAAATCAAAATTCTAATTCTACTCTTCCATTGAAAACGGTTTCGTTTATGGTAGACAAAATAAGTTGTCCTGATTTTCGGTCAAAAACCAGATTGTGCAGTGTCGCGAGTTCGATGGTTTTTTCCCATCTCAAAAAATACATTCTTTTGTTTGTTGTTCAAGAAAGAATGTTTTTTTTTTGAAATTGTGATGACAAGATCACTGTCCATTACTTTTTGTGGTCACTCTTTCTATATATTTCTGACCTAACTGTGTTCTACTGTTATTAATTATAAATTTTAAGTACCCACTTACAACTACACCAACCCATCTGGCCAGCGTGGTGTAGTAGGCCAAACCTCCTTTCTGAGGAGAGGCCTATGTCCAGTGGACTAGTAAAGGCTGTTGATGATAATAATGACGCACTTACACTCATGGTAATTCCAGCAATTATATGCTGATATTTTTGAATAGCCATTCTTTTAAACATGTTATATGTCTTTACATGTATCAATCGTACCAAACGATTCCAGACCATTTCTCATTAATTTCTGTACAATTTCTTTATAGCTTTCACTTACATGAAAGTTCATTATCCTGAATGGAAATACGTTAAGAATGTGTTGAAAAAAGTGGAGTAAACTAGTTTTTCACAATTAAGTCTAGTATTTTTTTAAATAAATAAATATAAACTTAGCTATGGGTCGTAGCGTGGATTTATACATATAGAGCCTTCCTCTTCTCAATCTATCTAATGCAAAGTGAATTATTCAAATTTGACTGATAGCTTCAGAAGTTAGGGTTTCCAAAAGTACAAAAAACTAATATTATGTAATAAAGAACTAGCTAAAACTATTTCTATTTTTCTGACTTCAATACGCTTTTAAAGTGCAAAGAAATTGTAGTTTCGATTTTTTCAGGGACTCAAAGCAATATGAATTAACGTACTTACTAATGTAGGTAAGTTCCAGTTCATTGAACAAAATGTATACCTATTTGCAGTACCAGTCAATGATTCTATATCACGACGAGGAGCAGAAAGCTGCTGCAGAGGCATCGTACACAGTAATGAAGGAGCGCTGCAAGGAGCCGTTGAGGACTGAAATAGCACCAGCCGGTGTCTTCTATCCTGCTGAAGAGTTAGTTTATTATTAGTTTCACATTTGAGTAATATTCTAGTTAGTCTTCAACGACAAAACTCAATTATACTCGTACATTTTAAAAATCAATATTTATAAAAGATAACGCTATCGTACCTACTAGGGGGTTTCAACAAAAATTGATAAATAAATTGTTGCGTCACCTTAATGGTTTCACATTTATTATTAAAGACGATTAAGCAGCAAATATTCTAACCAATCAAGTATAATTAATGCCTTTATATTTGTCTGTGTGGTGACGGAATAAGAATACGGAATGTCACCACCCCTGTTCATTCCGTGGTTGTCGTAAGAGCCGACTAAGGAACTACACTACGCAGAACAACAGCACTACAAAAAGAAGGGAACTTGACACAATCCCTTTTTTTACGTGTGGAAACGCTCTCGGGTCGTCACCCCACCGGGGTTTGCGACGGGATCGTGTGTCGGAATCGGACCGACTAAAACCACACGGTGTGCCACTCTGCGCCTGCAATAGGAGGGATCCGGGAACTACTGTTATTAAGACATCCGCCCCCTCCTAGGTGGTGCCCGCAACGCCTGAATAGAGAATGAACCTTCGCGTTCGTGGTTCGTTGGTTCGTGGACGAATTGGGTCCGAGTGGAGGTTGTCCTTCCGGGCTCTCTCCGCCGCTTCCTTCTGCGAGATGACGTCTTCGCAGAAGGACGCGACCGCGGTAAAACATCTGTCTCTACCGGCCATGAAGGGTATGATGGGCCCCTCCGATGATTGCAATAAGGACCCGGCGCTGCGACGCCCAAGCCAGGCAAATTGCTAGCGTATGCTGAACCGAGTCCTCACTGCGATCGCAGTGGTGACAGGCGGAACTCAATTCCCTCCTAGCGACCGAGTGCAGGTACCTCCCGAAGCAGCCGTGCCCGGAAAGGACCTGCGTCAGTCGGAAGAAAAGGGTCCCATGCTGCTGCCCAGCCAACTATCCACCCGGAACTTCCATTCCACCTCCAAATCAGACGGGTTTGTTCCGGCCAATGCGCACGCCGCCACTGTCGAAATGGTGCGAAAGCTTTGGAGCAAGCTGTCGGAAGTGCTGGTCGAAGAGCCACCTCCCGTCGAGGATCACCGGTACGAGGACTGAGTTGACCACGATTGAGGCGCCGGGGGGTGGACCACGACGGGGTCCATGGAATAAGAGGGCCTCCGTCTTACCTAGAGCCACCCGTAAGCCCAGCGCCTCAATGCGCCCAAAAAAGAGAGAAACTCCCCTGGTGGCCAGGCGCGAAGCCACTTGAAGTTCGCCCCCCGGGCTGTGATCAAAGTATCATCGGCGTAACAAATTACAACTTAACTCGAAGGGTCCAGGCGTACCTTGTGTTCCACAAGAGGGGTCTAAGAACAGACCCCTGAACACCGCACGACATGGGCCGACACCTCAGAATACCATTACGGTCCTCGTACACGAAAGTACGCTCCTCTAAATAGTCTGCCACTAGCCAATACCAATAGCCGCCTCAGGTACTTTGGCACCCCATTTTAGTGGAGTGCTTCCCTGATGCAGCGTAATGGCAGACTATTGAATGCGTTTTCGATGTCCAATGACACCGCCAACAGCACGCCGGCACGGCTCACGACCTCTTCGGCCACGGCCCTCAGGCGCAAAACAGCGTCGACTGTCGAACGCCTCGCTCGAAAATCAAATTTGGCATCCGACAGATCAGGGCCCACTTCGCAGAGGTGTCGGACGATGCGGGTAGAGAGAACCTTCTCGAACAATTTACCCGCCTCATCCAGCAACACGGTGGGTCTGTAGGCAGCGACCGAATCGGCAGGCCGTCCCGACTTCTTCACAGGACCGGCTTTCCCGGTCTTCCAGCACTCAGGAAAACGTCCGGACACCATACTAACGTCGAACACCTCCCTGAGGCGGTCTGACATGTGGTTGAGGGCTAGGGCCAGCACTCGAGCAGGTATCCTATCTGGCCCGGGGGCGGTGGAACGGTGGAACGGATCCGTAGTACAGCCGCCCTTGTATCCGTGACGGGCGGAACATCATCCTCGCTCTCCTCGTCTTCTCCGGCCAACGAGGCCATCAAACTTGACACAAACCCTATACCAACCCGTCTGGCCAGCTTGGTATTATAGGCCAAAAGCTCCTTTCTAAGGAAAGGCCTATGTCCAGCAGTGGACTATTAAAGGCTGTTGATGTGATGTGATGTGATGACCTATGTATCGGCACATCCTGGCCAGCTCGACCGAAATGTTACCACGGCCTCATAGAAACTACGTGTTAAGCATTGTTTTTTATTGAATATATGACAACGTCAACTCCCTTCTAACTTTGAGTAGGGGTCTTCAAAGATTGTACTTGTATTTCTTACCGTCAGTTGACCCGTCTGCTCTTTTTCCCCTTATACCATAAAAGAAAAACTAACTAACTTGAATATTTAAACTGGGACTCGTATACTTAATGGAATTAAGTATATGAGCTTCAGAAAACTGGTGCCTCCAAAAGCACCAGTTTTAAAGATGCCCGATGAGAACATAAATGCAGCAAAATATTGTTGCCACTTCACCCGTCTAAATTGACAAGGTTATATTTTATTGTCTTCACCTTTAAATTAACGCATGTATGTATCTGACATAGTGATACGAGCTAGTAACTTACGATTGTTGCAATAACCAGGTCACGGTCCGCTCCGTGCAATTTGTCCGCTGCACCAATTGATCAATTTGCATTCATGTAGCTATGTGTTAACTGATTCTTATTCCTAAATACACCACCAGTTCGCTGTTGTGTATCATTGACGACTTTGTTGTTTGAGATCTCAAGAGGTGAAATATTCAATTATGTTGTCTGTAAAAATATTTCAAAACTTCGTAGCAGCCACACAGATTTTGATTAGGTTTCGGACCTTTTAAGATATCGACTGTTATAATGAGCTTGAGACATACTTTATAAATCGAATCGAACCCTCATCACTTTAAGAATTGGACTATTAGTCATTCGTGTAGTTTAATTTATCGTAATTTCAACATGCAGAGTGCTGCATTTCTGAAAACTGCGTGTTATTTCGTTACTGGCTTGTAGTAAAAGTCGATATTGAGTGTTCTTTCTTAAGTTCATATCAATCAAATCAATATGAAAGACAGTCCAAAGGTCCCAGCCAATTCATATCGCGTGGATAGATTTTATTACGGCGCAATTGTCTAATTAAAAGATCTTGTTATTCGATACGCTAAAGTTTTGACCGATTCTATAAACAAACATTCAATTTAAAGAGATGCACTCGGAAACTTGTGACCTTTTTGTCAATTGAACTTTGTGTTCTAAAGGGATGCTCCCTTGATCAAGTTAGTCATCTTTGTGTTGAAGATTGTTCTCGCTTTTTTACTTTTTTGCATCAGCATTATTACAAATATTTTCAATTTTTATCTGCAATCTCATCATCACCAGGAAAATAGAATAGGTTTCTCACATAGGAGAAAGAAGGTTTTAGCCAACTATACCACGCTGGCCAGACGGGTTGCTATAGGGTTTGTGTCAAGTTTTCCTACTCTTTTCAGTGCTGTTGTGCTGCGTAGTTTGCACGTTTACACTAAGGTAAATGCTATTTATTAATGTGGATAATGTCAATGTGTTTTATTTGTGGTAACAACAATGCTAGTGTAGATACCGCTCCATATGTAAAAAACAACTTTGCGCTAACTCGTTTCAACACTCATAATTAATTTTTCACCTTTTTATCCACAGCTATCACCAGAAATATAGATTGCAAGGCCATAAAGATCTTTGCATCAGTCTCGGATTGGATTCTTCTAAACTGCAGACCTCGCATTTGGCTGCGAGACTGAACGGCTACCTAGTCGGCGTCGGTGGAAGATCACAATTTGAGCAAGAAGTGCAAAGCTTGGGCCTGAGCGAGAAGCAAGCCGAGTATGTGCGGCGCGAGCTTGAGCGCAATGAGGGGGGCGGCCTAGCCTGCTAGCTGCAGTCAAACGAATAACATATTTAACAGAAAGAAATAGTTTAAGTAATTTTTTAAACACGAGCAATGAAAATGCTGGACTCGTCTTAATTCATAAACAATTACTTTTAATACATTACATACTCTGCACATTTAACTTTAATACATCGGATCGGATTGTTAGAATTGTCTCGATTTGTGATATTTTGTATGCACTATTAATATTGTTGTATGTATTTGTATTGTATTAATAATAATGTTAGTTGAATGTGTGAATATAAACACATTCACGAAAATCTTTTTCTCATAAAGTGATTCTTAATTGCTTTTATATTATAAATAATTATATAATTAATTGTTAATAGAGAAAATAATTTTATTGTAAATTGAAAATTAATTATGATTATTTTTAAACAGGCTATCAGTCAAACATGTAACTAATATTATTTTTCAACACAGTATTAAGTTTTGTTATGTTGAATTTTGTGATATTTTTATTCTGCTTGACACACACTTTCCCAGGAAAAGAAATTTTAAAAACAATAAATAATGTTGTTAGTTGAGTATTGGACAAAAAAACAATATTTTAATTATGTTATCTTTTTAATTATAACAACAATATATATATATATATATATAGATGTTTTATTACTGTTTTTTTTATTTTTATGACTGTTTAAGTTATAAGACAGATGCTTAGATGAGTTGTAAATTTTAACTAGGGACTGCAGTCACGACTGAGGGACCACATTTGACCATTTGTAATTTATGAGTGGCCACTTTTACAAACTAAAGGCGGAATTTACAATCGTTTGTTTTCTTGAATTGTTTCCTATGTTAAATATATACCTCTGTATTTACAAAAAAAGTATAAAGTGTTCTATTAGTCAATCTAGTTTTCATAGTACAAACTCTGCTAAGTTTGAAACTAGATGGCGTTGTGTGTCAGATGTCCGAAATATTATAATTAACTTTTACTAAATGTTGACGCATGCAAAAATTCAAAACACAGAGTACAGTAATATTACTAGAAAGAAAAAAATCAAACTTGGGCCCTCAATTGGAACGCACGCCGGTAATCTCCTTGGATACTTTTGCTACCTGAGGTAATAGCTTAAAATTAGCTTGATAACTAAAGGATAACAATTTACTTCTTTTACCTCATTTACGTATATGCGTAGATGGAGTGTCGCCCTACAAAACAACTAAAACATACGGATCTATTTCATTATGCGCGTCTGCTTTATATTTGCGAATCGAGTGTTTAAAGTGAAAAAGAACACAAGTGACTCATAGGTACACAGTGACAGTGGTTAAGAACTTAGTGGCCAACTGTTGGATACTATATCTTTCGACGCTCTCACTCACTCACTTATACTCACACTCACTCACTCTTAGACATCGCTAATCTAAGATGCTTATAATAAACAAACAATTTTAAATTCCTGCAAGATGATATGTGTGCATTGGAGAAGAACTACTAGTTTGCTGCTCGTTTTTAACCAACTCTTCATCTTTTATTTTTAAAATCTTAAAAAAAATGTGTAGCCTAGGCGTTGTGTATTCTTGTCAATTTTGGTTGATTATTTTTCGACACACAGATCCAAAGAAAATAAGAATCTTGTACGACGAGTTTCTGTGTACCCTGCCTGACCCACGGGATAAGAAAGGGTTAGCAACAATTTTTTTAAAAGACACTATATTTTTTTAATAGGAAAGAAATGAATTTATTTTTGCTTTTCCCCATGAGTATTTAATGCCCCCTATTTGTTTAAGATTATTTGATAAGGAATATGGATTCTTCTAACAAATAATCGTTAATTTTCAATTTCAAATCTGTGATAGATATTCTCACATTTTAAATCATGTTCCATTTAGGAAAAAAATTGTATTTATCATTATAGATCATAAATTAAATGGTGTGTGCCTACGTTCTTTCTTACTGGTATTAAATCTTTAGTTCGATGTAATGGAGTTGTTTGAAAATATGGAAGAGAATTGTTTGGGTTAGCTTTGGACTTTATTCTATATAACAACTATTCACGCCATCTCACGATACTCAGTATAAACATTTTGGATGTCATGTTTATTATTTTAAATCAAGAAAGATTCAGATATAACAGAGAGCCTGTCAGCAGTGTCGCTATGAGATAACAGATGGCGTAAATAAACAAAAAAACAATCGTCGAGTCCTAGAGTGAATTTCCGAAAGACTACTAAAACCTTTCTTTAGCGTGTATATAAGCTATGTGGAATTACTTCATTAGGTAGTAGTAGGGTAGTAGAGCAAGCATGTTCTTTCTTCTAGAAAGTGATTGAAATTATATTAATCTTTTCTTGCTTTTTTCAGTGATACTATGTCCCTAGAAAGGAATGCGGACAAATGGTCATAATAGCTCGTTACATGTTTATTTAAAATATATAAAAACATTCTTACTTTTGTTGAGTTGATTATCTTATTATTCTTAATGGGGTTCCACCTCATTTTCGGTTTTGAGCGTGAATAGCGTAAATAGGTTATTCAGGTTTAACATTGAGGCAATTGACATCCTAGATAAATAAAGGATGAAGTTTAGAAGAATCCAATCCTAGAATAAAGAGTTTCATGGCCTTGTAATATATACTTCAGGTGATAATTGCAGACTGAAACATCAATGATTGTTTCATTATGGATATCGCTGAGTATTTAGAGGGATAAATAGACTGATGGTAATTATTTCCAACAGGTGTAGGTACCTACCGGACCTCTATTTGGTTCTGTAATATACATTAGCATAGTATTTAGCTATTCTACACAAATAAACATTACTGCTGAAAAACACATCATTGTCTATGTTTTTGTACGTGTCTCTAGTCTCTCTAATTAAAATAATAGAAAACTTAAATAGCACGTGAGCCATATAAAAACCAGAGGAACCCGTTTTATGAATCTCTATAGCGATATCTGCCTCGTGACCATTAAAAACACCTCTCTTATTGGAAACTTGTTTAATTTATATATACTTATAGGAATGTACATTTATTTTTTATAGATTGTTTTCAGTCGTAACCTTGTTATTTAATCGAACAAAATATATCTAGTAGAATTTCGGTTATAATGCAGTCACTTTCAAACAAACAAACATGCACATTGTGTTAGATTAACGATAAGAAAAACCCGGCGCCATCGAGGTGGAAAATTATTACACTAACATCCACGTTGGGTCAAAATTACCCGTGTTTAGATAAGAGCTTACTTTGGAAACCAACTCAAAATCATACATACCTGAGTTTTATGAAACAGACAATATTGTTTCACACATTTGTATAACAAAATAACAAAAAATATGAACTAAAATCATTTATTGCTTGTATTTTAAAGATACTATAAAATATAACGAAAATAAAAGGGCATGTTCTTTAACCCTTTTGACCTTAAAAATATAAAACATTTTGCTCAGAAAATAGTTCAAGAACATAAAAAAATTATAATTATGACGTCAGCATGAACCTAACAATGGTCATCTTCAGTAATCAAATTCGCACATTGTGCGCAGAAGGGAATTATGTGTTCAGGACATATAAACTTCTGCCTTCCATAGCAAATACGAAAAACTACTTGTCTTTCTGTCCTCTTTCCCTGGACATTTTTGGCACCCTCTGCGAACACCTGGAATCTTGGTTGGTGGTTCGTCAGGAGTTTCACCTCTGAATTTTCAGATCCTCTTTCACATGTTACGTGGTAATTTTTGGAACAGTTTTTGTAAAACTAATGTTCGCTTATGAGATTTGATTCGATGAAGCTGGCATTTGATTCTCCAGTTACCTTGATTCTCTCAAAGCCATAGGTGGCATTAGTAGCCATTAATTGGATTTTTGGCTTTGCTGTGCTATGAGATACGAGGTTTTCATTCGATTTTTACAAAAATAAAAATATATTAAATTTTTTGACATACGAGGTATACATTCTACAGCGACGGCATGCATTTTGTCGAAATATAGTCGAAACCATTTCTTTGAGTTGATAATATCAAATGTCAAACACAGTTCATCACATTCTGGGGTAACCTTGCGTTTGTAGTTGCGTTCAGTATCTACAGTTGTCAATTTACGCTCTTTGAGTGAAAGTATAAGTCCTAAAACAAAATTGTTACATTTAATGCCACGTTTGCCACGCTTGAGGATGTGATAAATTGTTATTATTGTTAATATAATTTTTATATTTTATTTATTGATTTAAGGATCTCCAACAAATCTCACAATAATTAAGGGCTTGTTGATTGTGTTTATAATATAGGCAGATTAGGCATGTAGGTTGGTTATCTAAATAGCTGGAACTGTATTCATTTGTCCCGGCTGTTCAGCAGAAGGATAGCGATAACTTACTTTTTAGTTCTAGATTTCACCACTAAACGAATACTATATCACAAATCAATTCGATAACCGATTTGATTTTGAACAAACACGTGTACATATATTATGTTATGTGTTGTGTAAATGGTCGATCAACTTCCACATTAGGAAGGCAAAACATTACAAATACATTGCCAATGTAGCTCATTACAATACATTAGCTATGTATTGGTACCATTTTGGTAATCAAATTGTAAGTCGGTGACCTGAAGATTTGTCGTTGCCGAAAACTGCGTAGTTTAAAATCTCACTGTTTATACATTACCTATACTTAGTTCACGTTGACATAATCGTTTCAACACGTGATTTTACATGCAAAATCGAATATTTTAAAAGGTTCCAGGAAAGAAGAGTTGTTTCTTTAAATTCACGGAGTTACGAAACAAGTAAAAACAAAAGTTTATGAATTCCTAGTTCCCGCCTGGTTAATGCCACCCAAGCCTCTTTCGGTAGGCTTTTACAACCGCGTATAGTGACTTTTAATTCCAACTTAAGAGTAGTTCAGTGGACTTCGTATTTCGCCAAATATACTCGTAAAACTTTTTAAACTCACTTTGAATTATAAATACTTACAGATCTTAGTAAAGCTCAAAAGTTAGAAAGTAAGATGAGGACCATCTATCTGGCTTTTTACCCGACCAACTATGTTTTTCGCGCATCTTATCTTGGTTGGGTTCGTTTGTAAATTTCGTTATTACCTCGTATCTTCGACAGTTAAGGATGTTTTATCCGTCTCAAAAACCCAAATGTCTTTAGATGGCTTTTTGAAAGAAAAACAAAATGGCTGATTTGGTGCAAAATGGTACCTAATAATTAATTAATAAAGTAGGGTATCAAAATCAAGAAAATTAGAAACGGCTTACAAAAATATCCATAAGTTATAAACTTAAAAAAGGAGGACAGGCCAGGTGGAGTGACGATTTGCGCAAGAGGAGGGAGGAGGCAGGAGCTGGATGCGAGAAGCCCAAAATCGATCTAAGTGGCGTGCAATGGGAGAGGCCTATGTCCAGCAGTGGACTGCGATAGGCTGATGATGATGATGATGATAAACTTAAATTTAATAAGGAATAATAAATTGGTTTAAAATATTAATTTTTTATACAAGACAAGACAACTCCCGCCTTAGGAATATATCCAGTGTCGCGGGGGACTATACAAACATATATGAAACGGACATAAAGAATACCCAGATTAAGAACAACAATTTGTCTATCAAACAAAGTGATATCCCATGTGGGGATCGAACCCACCATGTGGGGCGAGGTGACCGCTTAAACCGATGTCGAAATAGGTCTAGTTTGTGTCGGACCTCGTGTTGTTTCGGTGTTTTTAATGCATTACTTTTAAATTGTCTTTTTGAAGTCGGGTATTTGATTTCTTTAATTAACTTGTTCATTAAACTGATTGATGACAGATGACATTTTGCTAAATATTTTTTAAGATCAAGTAAGGTTATGAAAGACAATTATTCTTTTTTATCTATACAACTTGACATGTTAACATGCGACGCAAGCAAGTGCAACCTGGATCTAATCCATTTTTTTCTAGTAATTCCTACGTGAGCAGGATCTATGTGCATACACCTTACATATTAATTTGCTATGTCTGCTAACACTATTTTTAAATACATATCTGTACATTTACACCATTTAAACATTTACAATAGGTCAATAGTTGTAAGCCTCAAAAATGTAATATCATACAAATATATTCTTTGTTTTGTTTTCCTTTCAATATAAGTTGTGTTCTGTGTCTTTTAGAGAATGAAGTTTGATTTTATTTTATTATTTGTTTTATATTTAGGTAGGGCCACAACCACGTGGCCTTCTTAATGTGACGTATCTGTCTTTGACGTAGCTTTCTGTTGACACCAACATAGTTTGCCCCTTTTTCTTTCCTATACCTCTTATTTTCGCTTCCTTAAACTTACTGCCTACCAGTTACATTGTTAATTTAAATAGTTCTTCGATTTTACCTGTATATTATCTAAAACAAGCCTTCGATCGTATACCAAAATCACTGACTTCACCAGACGCTTAAGAAATAGTAAGCCAACAAACTACAGGTCATAGTAACAAGAATGCTCAGATGGTCCTGCCCCTATGCAACAAAATTAGCTCAACACGATTGCCATGGACTAGCCATGTTATTAAAAATTATAAAATCGACTCAATGACGAGCCAGGCAAATATTTGTGTAGAGAAGTGTTAGAAGAGTCTACATCAAATAGAGACGATTGCCGTTTAAGTTGGTGAAAGTATACTTCTGATTTGGTTAGATCGAGGAGTGTAAACAAAAGCTTGTAACAAACCCTTTTACTAACCCGTCTGGCCAGCGTGGTATAGTGGCATAGTAGGACTTTATAAGGAGAAGCATATGCCCAGCAGTGGATTATTAAAGGCTGAGGATGATGATGATGATGAAACAAAAGCTCGAGCTGGTCAAGGTCGTATCTCGAACTAGCTGTTCTCGGCAGTTCAAGCTCTAATTAAATTCTGTCTTGAAAATCAGTCTTTGTATTGCCCTTTGCAAGGTGATGATAATCACTAAACACTTGTACTCCACGGCTGTAGTTTTCCACAATGCCTTAGCTCATTAACGGACTTGATTTAACATTTGCATGTGATATTCGTCTGTTAATTTAATTACAACCTCACTAAGAGGATGCTTCCTTACAGACAATTATTATGTACATATTATTAAGTACATTAAATTAAACTCTTATTAAGAAGTCGAACTAAACACTTTTACAACTATTTTTTTATTCAAGTCTCCGTCTGGAATAAAATAATAATAAGTGATAAGTCCTTGAAAGATGAAAAGTAGAGTGAATAAGTTTCTCAGGGATAATGTTATCGTCCTTTTCTCCGTCACTTTCCAGTAGCTAACGTACACTTATTCCAGTACCTAAAAAACACAATGTGGACTGTAGTTGTTTTTATTTTTTTGACATATTTTTTTGTGGTTTTTCTGAATGCGTCTTATATCAGAGAGTCACTAATATATATATCACTAAATTGGCGATGTGTTGCGTGGGTTTTCATGTCTAAAAGCGGAGACCTCCTTTCAAATGACATTAATTTAACATAACATCAAAAAAGAGTTATGGAGTTTCAATACTTCTAACACATTAATGCAGAATTGTAAATAAAAATTACATAACATTTATTTACCACTCGCTGTGCTCGTTTTGGTACACCCGTACTAGTACAGGATGTAAGCAAAACACCTTCATATTTAAAAACTGGTTAAAAAAAAACTTACGCAAGTTATTGAAAAAGAATCAGAAAGTGCAAAAAAAATAATTGTGATAAAAAACGAAGAAAATTAGAGCTGTTGAAGTGAAGTTCGTTCCAAACTTTACAAGAAAACACGCTTTTATGTTGAAAAAATCGCATTTTTTTTTAAAATACACACTTTTTTTTTCAAATACACTGATTTTTTCGTGTAAGTAAGTAGTAATAAACATTCAGAATAAGTAGTTAGAAGTTAAAATATTTAATTATGAAAATACTTTAACTTGTTTTTGTAGTTCTGTTAATAGATCATACTTAGTATTGATGTGTAACAACCGTCCTGTTACTTAGTTTACCTGCGCTCTGTGGGACTGTTTTTTTTTTTTAAATTTATGATTATTATGGGAACGAACAAATAGGAATGGTACCTGGAGTATTCATTAAAATAAATTATTAAGAAAATATCATAAAATAAGTACCGGTAAATTAAAGTCAACAAAATGGCCACTGATTAATCAAACCCGTCTAGTCATTTGATACGTACGCATAACAATAAATTGAAGAAAAGATTGAAGGATGTATTGTTGAATGAAATTACGTTTAGCACATCATAATATATTATAGTATGTATGTAATATCTGAGCACGTATATTTTTTTTGTTTTAAAAACAATAAAACAGTGTGATATATTATATTATCCAATCATCATTTACCTACCTTATCTATTGTATGTCTACTAAACAAGGCAGGTCTCATTGACACTTATGGACTCCGTTAAGTTTATATAACACCGCTTGACCTGGATGACTCCAAATAAACGTGTAATAGTGATGTAATACATATTAACTGATAGGTTTGTCTAGTATCTATGCCTAGATGATAACTTTAATGAGTCGTTCGGTGATTAGATATGTTAATTTATTCGGAATGTTCATTCTGTTCAATCATTGATGTTTTAAAAAGAACTTTACTCATTATATGACTGCATATCAGCATACTGATAGAGCATATCCGATACGGGAATTAAAATACGGCTTAACCATCACGCATTGAAAGTTTCAAGATTTTTTTTGTTTTAAAACTTTGTACGAAACGATTCTTGAAGATTTTCGCGCATATTTTCCGAGTGTGACTCTCCACAAAATTTAGTCACCGAAATAAATATTATCTACAATCTTGGTATCTTTCAAGTTGGATCGAATTATTAATACACGTATTTATCCCGTTCACAGTAAATTTTCCTAGGACACAATATAAGTTCGTAACTGAAAATAAAAGCTATATAACAGCATATATATAACTACTTTCAGAATTTTTTCCTTTACTTGTACTGTTTAGCCTTCTTTCTCGTCTAATCGCATAATTCTAGGTCAATGACAAGTAACCTAGATTAGAAGCCACTCTGCTTTCGATTTATTGACAAATTATTAAAAGTGGGATAAACCTATGTAATTTAGTTTTTTACAGTTTCAAGGGAGCGCAGATATAAGTATTTGATGTTAACTGCATGTCGATACTTCTACGCATGCCGAAAAAAATGCCTTCACAGACAGATGGACAAATAAATGGACAATAAAGTTATATTAACCCGTTTTTAAGATAAAAACGCATTCCATCTATCCATTCGCCTGCGCCTCCTTTCTAAGGAGAGGTCTATGTCCAGCAGTGGACTGTTTACGGCTGTTGATGATTCGCCTGCGCCGAAACCAGCGAGCTCTGACTTCTTTATTTTCACTTCTCATCTCCCCATCCTTACTTACTTACCTTGCTCCCTACCTTCGTTTCTTGTCGTCTAATCACGACAGAAATCCTCGCTCTGCAAATAATTTGCTTCTCTTATGGCCCTACCACAATTCCGACTCTTTGTTCTTCGTTCAAGAAGTTCTACTTTGGAATGCGCTCCCGGCTGAAGTCAGGATGTCAACAAACCATTCCGTATTTAAAAAAATATAACCTTTAATGAGACGGCAATCGTGCGTTGTGTTGTGTAGTGTATATTTTAGTGCTTAGTATTATAACCTATGTGCGCTACCACTCTATTGCTACACCACCTAAAGGTTGACTGGAAGATGTACAAAAGTGCAAAAAGTTCTAAATAAACAAATAAAAATTAATAAAAAACAAATAATATGCTTTTAATAAATTCTTATCGATTTCAAATGTTACAAGATACTTTTTATTGTACAATATAACATTGCATGATCATTTTATTCTTATCGATCGTGTTCAGAGATCTTACTAAATAAGTACATAGAAGTTACATTAAATGAAGTAACATATGTTCTTTATCAGTATTATACTACTATATATACAACTTTTTTATTATAATTAATCATTCTGTTTACTCGAATCACAGTTTAAAAATTTCATTAAAAAAAAACAAAATGACCGCCAAGTCAATCCTGGTTTTGTGTGCTTCAGTCTGCTTGTTCAAGGTAAATTAAGAAATCTGTTACTTTAAAAAAAAAGCTATCATTGATAATGTTTGCTTTCCTAAAATTATTATAACAACTGATTTATTAACTATGTCCGGTAGTATTTATATGCTCTGATCTCTTGGTTTATTAAATCGTTTAATTTAATAAATATTTTAAACTAGCTAGTAGTGGTATAAGGCCTCGGGTTCGATTCTCGTACTGGACAGAATTTAGGCATAGATATTGTGTACATTATTTTATTACAAGCTAAAAAGACTCAATAGCATTATTTAGAAGCCGCGAAGTCTATTTAGAGAAGTGTGTAAGTCTGTATGTTACTTTTCAGATGAATTCAGCTCAGTGCATTGGATCCATAAACGGCCTAGCAGGCTCATTAATAGCTGATGAAATGGCTCTTGGAGGTAATGCCCTCCCATATAGAGGCCTTGGAACCTTCGGAGCAGCTGGTTACGGGGCACCTGGGTCCTTTGGACTTAATATGGCTCCTACCAGCGGTGGTAGCTTTGCTGTCACTAGTGTTTCTCCTATTTCACCTACTGGAATCACAGTTGTGTCCGAAAACGCTATCGAAGGCCCTCTTACTATCAGTGGGCAGTTACCTTTCCTCGGAGCTATTGCTGTAGAAGGAGCTTTACCTTCAGCTGGTGCAGGTGCTATCAACTATGGTTGTGGTAATGGAGCCGTTGGTATTTTAAGCGAAGGTGTAGCTCCAGCTATGGGATCTGCAGCATATCCTGCCGGTCCTGGTGTCCAAGGAGCTTTTGGTTATCCAGGTGTAGCTGGTCAAAGATCTCTTAATGGACTCAGTCCTGCATCAAGTCTTGGATACAGAGGCGTTTATTAAATACTATTTGTTATTTAAATTGTTATTAGAAATAAAAAAAATAACTTTATTGCTCAAATAGAGTTGTTCTCGTTTTTACGTACCATCACCACTATCTTGTTTTTCAGTGGAGCGATTTGTGTGAATCGCACGGAGTAACTATAACCACACGGTGCCTTACAGCTAATTAAGAAAATAATAGGGCTGTCTAAACATCGTTGAACGGTGACGAACACAGCAAAGTTAGACTGGCTTTTTGTTTTCAACAAATTACTCAACACGCAGTAGTTTAATCATCATCATCATCAACAGCCTTCAATAGTCCACTGCTGGACATAAGCCTCTCCTTAGGAAGGAGGTTTTGGCCTATTATACCACGCTGGCCAGACGGGTTGGTATAGGGTTTGTGTCAAGTTTTCCTTCTCTCTGCAGTGCTGTTGTCCTGCGTAGTTTTTTCCCTTAGTCGGCTCTTACGACACCCACGGGATGAATAGGGGTGGTGACACTCTGTATTCTTAATCCGTCACCACACGGACAGTAGTTTAATAACAATCTTATATTATAAAACGGAGGGTGTAAGTGGGCGGTCATTGTTTCTTAGTTCTTCATCCATCGTAGAAATAAGTAGATGCAGGCAACAACATTGAGTATGCACTTAACAGGTAAAATTGTAACCAATTAAAAAAGAATCAAATTTAAATATGCACACGTGGCTAATTGGATTATTTTAGGAACACGGCGAAGTCGGATAGATTGGCTCCACGTGTCGCCCGGAAAGGACCGTTGACCGCCTCGTGTTTAAATGACAGCGAGCTGTCAAACCTTGTGTTGCCAATTACCCCATCCGAATACGCCCAAATCGATTAGATTTGACGTTCCGTTCCACGTTCTTCGAAATATATTAGTGCAAAATGGAGTCAGAACATAGGAATTTTATTCATTGGTATATAGACACAGAGGAGTATTTGATAGAAAATAGCACATCACATGATTTTTTTCCAAAGTTGGGTATGGCCTCCATATAAAAAGTACCTATATAAAAGTATGAATTCTCACTGAGAATTCTCAGTATCAAGTTAATTACTTACTGGGTCTCATACTTAAGAATGTTTCTCAAAAAGATACAAGGTTTTAGCTGCAACCCATTACAATATGTATATCTTTCTTAAAAAGTAATTTAAAAAAAAGACGACGCCCGCATTACGAATTAGGACTTTATGCCCGGTGTCGTGGGGGACTATACAAACATACATAAAATCGGACACAAAAAACTCTCAGGCTCAGAACAACAATTTGTGGATCACACAAAGTGTCATCTAATGTGCTGATCGAATCTACAACACTAATCGTAGTAGTAAGCGGCAGCGGCGTGGCGACCGCTTAAACCACTACGCCAGCCGTGCAGTCATGGCAATTGAAATAGCAACTAGAATCTGTTGCCTCTTTAACTTCCTTCCTAGGTATACCCGAGTCAATCAATTCAGGTATATCAATTCTAATATAATAATAATAATAAAATCACAGACATCTCACACAATGCCGTTTCATCCCAAACTAGGCGAGCCCGTGCTTTAGTGTCTAGACTGCTGATAAACATACTTATATATTTCTAAATAGTATGTTTATATCATAGATAAATTATACCTAGACACAGAACAAATGACCAGTAAGGCAGTCAGGGTCACTATAGTCCATCGACGTCGTGCCCGACCGTCCCGCGGAGTGACAGACGGTGGCGGGGACGAGGTACTCATGATGTCAGCGGGTAGCGGGTGGTGTGGCGGGGAAGGGAAACGCTTCTCTTCGTGTGCTAGAATGACGCGCTACCTCGCCCCCGCCACTGTCTGTCACCCCGCGGGACGGTCGCGCAAGAGATTGCCGGGTTATAACTACTAGACCATAAGTCCCGTTGAGGTGATGGCGCGTAGGAGTTTCCATGTGACAAAAAAGCACCACCGTTAGCCGCTATTTTCATAGTAAAAGTAAAAAAATATATTTGATAATAAGATTAGGTAGCAGTAAAACTGCATGGTTCTCATACAAGTCTAATTTTACTATATCGTCAATGATATCATCAATAGTATATTAGCTCCTCAAGGTTACTTTTGCAATTCCCTGTTGTTTTGAATTACAAAGCATCTGAATTAATTCATTATTGATTTACATAGAATTGATTTTAAAAGTACCAATCGACTGTACTGAATTTACATTCTGTTACAATTCTAATAGTTTTACATATATGTAAAGGCATTTTTCTTTGAATACTAAAATAACACCTCTTATTGGAAAACCCTTTATTTTATAACGGACATATATAAATCTCGATTTTGTAAGCAAATTCGTTACGGTGAGTTCACTTGTGTATTTTTCATGCATATATATATATATATATATATATATTTTAAATATACTTACGCCCATAATATATCGCAAAGACAGCAGTATCAAAAACCTACATTTTGCTTACAACTTACTAACTTAATAGGGGGCAATCTATGGCAAAGGCAATATATGACATATGTACTCCCATTTTTTTAATGACTGCACGGATGGTGTAGTGGTTTAAGCAGTCAGATTGCAAGTGATATAAAAAAAATAATTATTCTTATTTGTCCGTGTAGTGACGGATTAAGAATACGGAATGTCACTACCCCAATTCATCCCGTGGGTGTCGTAAGAGCCGACTAAGGGCGCAAAACAACGCAGGACACCAGCATTGCAAAAAGACGGAAAACTTGACACAAACCCTATACCAACCCGCCTGGCCAGCGTGGTATAGTAGGCCAAAACCTTCCTTCTAAGGAGAGGCCTATGTCCAGCAGTGGACTATTAAAGGCGATGATGAATATAATGTGATGATGATGATGATTTGAAGCAAGGGTTAACACAAATATTAGTAATGTGAAAGCCACGGCACTGGTAGTGGTAGTGTTGTGGGTTCGATCCCCACATGGGACGACACTTTGTGTGATCCACTAATTTTGGTTCTGAGTCTAGGTGTTCTTTGTGTCCGTTTCATGTATGTTTGTAAAGTATCACAGGATCTATTCCTAATGCAATTGACTTAAAAAAAATCATTAACGAATGTTACGAGTAATTAGAAAATCGGGAGTACTTATCGTATGTTTGCGAATACATGATATGTACCTAGGTAGGTAAAATTAGGACATGATATATTTATTTTAATTTTAGTTTAAACTAGACTTAATAACTTCAACCTTCCATAAAATTGGCGGTAGACAGAAGTTCTAAGTGCTCTTTTTTTCTGCTGATAAGGAGAATGTTCAGAGCGCTTCCATACCACTATCGACTGATTAGTTAAGGCGCTAAAACGTAATACATATTATTAACTTTAACATTAATATTATAAGTTAGGATAATCTACAGTTATAATAGTCTAAATTTGAACCACATTGTTTTTCGTTTGAAAATGTCGTGATATATTGACCTATTAAGCAAAACATTAGACGTTACGCATGTTTCCATATTTCCCAATTCGTCACAGACTATCTATCAGGAAAATTACGCGTCAACCTACGTTCAGCAAAATCGTTATTAATTCCAATTGAATTTAGTTTTGAGTTGAGGAGGTTTTGTCCAAGTTATAACACAATAATTATAATCTGTTTGTAAATTGACGTCGAAGACATGTAATTTAGGGTTCGTGATAAGGAAAGGAATGGAATGGAATGGAAAAGGAAATGTTACTTATCTGTTACTTATCACTGTCATAAGCACGCACAAAAAGGTTGTTTATTAGGGGGTCTAATTGTTATCGTTTGAATTTCTTACTGAATTTATCAAATGTGTGCAGTATCTATAATTTAAGTACCTACATTATCTTTCTGTATACTGTTCTGTCGTTTACTTCAGGTTATCTTCACGATGATTTGTGACTATTAGTTTTATCAGCGGACAATCATTTGATAGTCCGATGAACAAAGATGTTCATAGAATTGTTATAAATTAGCTAAATTATCTTTTATTTCTGTGTTTGGGTTCCTTTAACCTCACTAGCTCTGTTCGGTGGTTTCCTGAAAGGCCGCGGTATCACCAAGGTGGTGGTCATCTTATAGTGACTACCGCCGGCGTTCATTGCTGCCTTCGCCTCGTTTGCCCCCCGATACTATACCATAAAAAAGACTAATACTAAAGAGTTCAACCAATAAAATATTACGTACTTGTGTAATCTTACGTTGAGTTTGTTCAGTTATAAATAATGTCTCACAAATAGACTAACTATCAGCTCTTGTTATACTCGTTCCTAAATATATATCGTAAGTACATACTAGGTTTTTTCTGTAGATTAGAAAAGATCGCCATACTTGTTACATGGCTATTCTAGTTTTCACAACCACTTTTCTTTGTACTCGTATACCTTTTAACTTTTAGAATACTTGAACTGGACCTTGCCAATAGAAAAGTGAAGCTTTATTACAACTATTGTTTAACCGTTAATTCAAGTTTTTAACCGACTTGTTAAAAAGAAAAGAAGTATGAGGATAAATAGAAGTATAAATTAAAAGTATGAGGTTCATGTATAGGTTGTACTTTTGTTTTGTTTGTTACCTCAGATATACTTATGTTATTTATCCTTGTTACCTCAGATATCGGAGGATTAGGCGATTAGAAGGGTTGGGGCGCAGTGGTCTCTTTCTGTGAAGCTGTAATGCTCCAGAAAGAAACCGCTGAACGGGAGCGGAAGAGGGCCGATTCTGAACGAATAAGACGTCGGCGGCGGAATGACCAGCCGACGAGACCGCGGGCAGCCAGACAGTTATCACCTTTGGTGGCAGATTAATTGCTGCGGTAGGGGATAGGACGGCGGCCTGATCGCACTAAAAATATGATCGGGCTGCAACATCTGGATACTCTGATAGGCAGGGAGAAGCCACTGGCTTTCTCTGAGATATGGCCTAGTTAGGTGTGGCGTCAATCTGGGGGGAGGCCTGAAATCACATAGGTTCTCCCTATAGGTGTTTAGTGGAAACAACCACATACTTTTGGCTCCTATATCCCAA